GACGATGAAGAGCTCAAAGTTTTTGAAATATGGAACGTTTTAATAGAACACAGATAATTTCTCCTCCCCTAAAGTAGACAAAGGAGTGATGCAATTAACTGGCTAATTCCAAGCCCCAAATGCTTTCCCTTGAAATGGGCGGATAATGAGGCTGACAGTATGTTTGCAGTTGAATTCGCCTGATGTTGCTCCATTCCAGCCCCCCCACCACCACTTTTGTAAATCCATTGGGCAATCACACACATACTCAGGCACACATTCTCATACACGGGAATGCTGACACTCACAAACCTGATTTCATGCCTCCAGAGTCTTTTATGACTCAGCCCTGGGAGTCATGTGCCCGAGGCTGTGTAGGATGCAGGGGCTCCAGATGTGCACACTCCTAATTGGGCACCTGGCAGGGCCCCTGCCTGGCTGGGAAAGGCACTGAGCCCTGGGCCTGGGCAGGTGCTGCACCCTAGTCTACCGTGGTGGGCAAGTGCCTTTGCTGCCCCAGGCCCCAGTGGTCTTCTAGCCTTTTTCTTCCCTTGCTTCCTTGTGGGGTTCCCTTGTTGGGGACTGCTGTCCTGAGAATAACTTTGGAGAAACTTCTTGAAGGGGGCTGTGAAGTATATAAGGTATCTCTGCCTCAGGGGAAGGAAAAGAGGAAACCCAGTTTCTCCTACACCACGCTTCTCAGATCCTGGATGTCTCTGAGCTCAGACTGGGTGGGGGGGAGGCCTCGGTACAGAATAAGGTTTCTTTTTCCTTAACCTACCCTGTAACTCATAGGCTCCATTGGAGCCAAGGGAGTTGCCTGCCCTCAATGACCTCCTCTGCCTGTCTGTATGACCTTCTCTTTCCGGTTTATGGGACAGTCATATAGTCAACTCCTTCTCTTAGCCATCAGAGCCTCTTTCATAAAGTATTCAAACCTCACAATATCCAGTCTTATGGGTCTGTTTTCACTGGGCCTTTGAGGGCCTAAGGCACTTGCCCACAGTCACACACAGCTAGGAAGTTTATGAACCCTGAGCCGGCCTTGTCCTGGAAGGAAGCGTGCCAGACTTGTCTCGGACCCCAATCCTCGCTGCGTATGGGCCTCCAATTCCCTTGTGTGCTCTCCAAATCTTAGACCCAGAAACCCCTAAACTTCCAACATAGACGGTTCACAAAGGCTGCCTTTCTGGAAGTGAATTTTGATGACAAGAAAGACATTGTTGCTGGGATGGTCATAATTTGGGGGTAAGAACATCCTGTTCGCCTAGAGACTACATCCTCCAGTCCCACGTCACCGTTTTTAGTGGCTGCTCTAATTCTGGCAAATCACTTCATTTCCTCGGGCCACAGTGTCTTCTTTTGCACGTGAGGAGTGGGCGTCGAGTATTCTGGCGCTGCCCTGGAGCTGCCTACCGTGGAGATCACGGGAGATTTGGGCTGTGGAAGGCTCCCTGGAGTCGGGATGGGGGTAGGGGATGCGGAGCGGATGGAGCATGAGTAGCTGTCGATTCCTTTCCCAGCCCTCACTCATTTAATCGTGTTTCTTTCGCTTGGCAGAGGGCGCCAAAGGCGGTGCGCCGGCGGCCAGCCCCGGGCCAAGCCCAGTGCGTCTGCAGGAACCGGGCCCTTCACCCCTGCGTGGGACGCGGAGCTGCGCGAGGATCTTTCTCCTTCAGCGCAGACTCAACGCCAAGGCGCCGCCTAGAGGTCAGCCGCGGCCACAGCCTCACCCGCCAGCGACCACAGAGCTGGAGCCCCAAGCCGTGGCCAGAAATGGGGGGCGGGGTGGGGAGTGGGGGGAATCCAGCCAAGGTCTCAGGGACGTGGCTGCCCGCACTTCTGACTTCTCTGAGACCATCCTCCACCCCCGCCAACGAACCCTGAGAGGGGATCAGGAAGGCCTAGAAATGTTTATTCTTGTGTCTCTTCCTAAATGGAAAGGAGTGATAATTTCCGTTTCTCCGAGGACCCCCTGTTCCGCAGCCTGTGTCTATACTGCCTTCTCTCGCCATTCAAATTGTCCAGCCTCATCCAATTATGCTAAAACTCTGCTTTATCTTCACCGAGGGAAGGGACTAGGGAAAAGTTGCCCCTAAATCTGACATCATAGTTACCCACATTTTCAATTATCTGAGTAATGTGGAGATCGATATGCTTTTGGAAAAGTATTCAGAAAACTTTCGAGGGTGAAAAGAAACATTGCCTAAGTGGTCTTTACTCACTGAGTGGCCATCAGCTGAATTGGTGCGCCAGTGACGGGCCAGGCGGTGCTTGTTGGCACCAGCGCCCCTGTTGGTGGGTGTCTGTGCTCAGCGTTTGAAAGTTGACTCCTTTGGGGCCGGGCGACCTGGGAATGAGGAAGCTGGCTGAGGTCTCTGGGAATGGGTTCGAGGTGTTGCTTGGCCCCTTGCAGGAGTTTTCTTTTTAAAACTGGGATCCGTGGCCTGGGTTCTGGGAATAGGGGCTAGGAGAAAGCAGCAAAGTCCCTGAAAGGTGTATGCAAAACTTGTGTGTGCACAGGTACAGCATTCCAAGGCTGTGGCCTATTCAGATGTTCTAGAGTCTAAGACTAAAATAGTTCAATTCCCTTTCCTGAGCCCAGGGAGCCAGAATCCTAGTTCGGGGAGCCAGTTACTGACCTGTCCCCCCTGCAGCCCTGGGGGTAGGGCAGGGGCTGGGTAATAACAGTCTTGAATGGTAGAGAGACGGCTGGCCCCTCAGTTCTGCCCCCACACACATCACTTACAGCCCCCAGAGGCAAATCCTGGTCGGAGGGTGACTGCTGGTGGCTGCCCTCACAGTATCTTTAGTAAAATTATAGCGCGAAACGGTGAAAAATGAGGGATTTGGGCAAGTAATGAGGAGGGGAGCTGGAGGGACCTCTCTATGCATATCCTGGCATATGAATATTAGGATGGAAACAAGCTACTTCTTGTTCTCCAGCTGTTAAGGGGTCCCCCCTCTTCCTCCTTCATGCCAGGAAGGGAAGGGGCCAGGGGGCACCCCACCACCTGCAGCAGAGTCAGCCTTTCAGAAAATTCAGAAACCGTAGGCCACAGCCTAGTATTTTCCTTGCCTAGTCCACTTTTCACCCATTTAAAAAGAAATCCCCCGCCCTGTTTTGGCACCATTTCTTGGAAGGAGCGGGGGCGGAGGGCCGCACCTGTGCGTCTGTGGAAGAAAGTTGCCCTTGGGGCACCAAACTCCCCCACCCCAGTCTGCAGCTGGGCCCCAATGTTACACCCAAGCTCGGCCGGGGCAAGCTCATCTTGGCCTCCAGTGCCTCTAAGACCTAACCCTGCGGCATTTTGTTGGTGAGTAACTGTGAGGTGTGATCCAATTCCTTGGCTCTCCCACCCAGAAGCGCACCTAACTAGGCCCCGCCAGCCGACACAGTGAGCAGAAAATCGGTAACTTCGCTCCCAGTCGGCTGGAACCCAAGGCGCAAAGGGAATTTTCCTAGTTTTGGTTCACGGTGGCCTAACAACGATTCCAGATGCGGAGTCCACCAAGTTTTATAGAAACCCAACAGTGCCGAGCCAGAAAGTCCAGGTAGTGGTTGTTTCTGTTTGATCCGGAGGCTTTTTGGGAGCCAGAGAGGAGTCGGCGGCCGAGCTCGGCAGAGGCCGATTTGGACACCACGCGGCGCCGGCCGTCACTTCCACTTCCCCGAAGACAGCCCCTCGGTTTCTCCTCTGGGAGCCCCTGCCCGCTCAGGCCTTCCGACCCCTCTCCCCGTCTCTCAAGTACCTGGCAGTAAACGGGCGGGGCAGGGCAAAGGTCTGGCTGCTGCAGATGTAAAGAGAAAAAGAAAAAAAGAAACAAACAAAACCCGCTTTCAGCGGACAGATGCAAAGAATGGAGGTCCAGGGCGTGGTTGGCAGAGCCAGGGGTTTAGCGTAGAAATGCCGGGGCGCCTCGCCGCTTTGGCGAAGATGGGGAGTCTCGTCTGCGCTCGTGAGCCGCGCCCGCGATGCGCGCGGGGCTCGGGGACCGTTGTTGATTCAGGCGGCGGCGTCCGGTCCCGGCCGCATGGCCGCCCGGGTCACCGCGCCGCCCGGGGCGGCCCCGCGGCTCCTCCGAGGGAAGGGCCCGCCTGGCAGCGGGACGCCCGGAGCGCGGCCCGGGGGCCGGGGCTGCTTCTCTCCACGCCGACCAAGTCCTGCTGCGGCAAAAAAAAAAAAAAAAAAAAAAGGAAAAAGAAAAAAAAAAGGGGGGGGCCGAGGCGGGGGCTTTTGCGGCTCGTAAATTTGTTTCCCCTGCCTTTTAACCCGCCCCCCGGCCGTCTTTCTTTTCAGGACTTGAGGGGATGTAAACCGTTTGAAGTTCATCAACACGGTGAAGTTTTATTGTATTTCCGGTCCCCAAGATTTACGCCCGGGAGGGGGAGCGGGCGGCCGGGCGGACTCCTCCGCTCCCTAGGACTTCCCCGCCGGACACGTGGCCACTCGGACACTCGCCTCCGGGCCGAGGGCGGGAGGGAGCCGGGCCGACAGGACGCGGACGCTCGCGCCGTCCGCCTTCCGACGGCCGCCCGCACCCAGCGCCGCGCGGCCCGCAGGTAAGCGCGCCGCCGGCCCGCGGCGGGGAGCCAGTGCGTGCGCACCTGTGCGGCTGCGGGCGTCGCGGGCGTCCCGGGTTGGAGGTGGCAGCGGAGGGCTTCGGCGCGGCCTGCAAGGGAAGGGCCCAGGCGGAAGGTCAGGACGACAGCAGCACGTTTGTTCTCTGCGTTTGAATGTGAGTCCTCAGCCTCCCCACCCCCCCCACCCCCGCCCCGGCTTCATTTGTGAATTTGGAATAGATTGTCTTACCTGGGACAGGAGCTGTCCCTGGGAGCCAGGGCCCTCGGACGTTCCCGGCTGGGCGACTTCGCAGCGACCGCTCATCGCAACCCGCTTTCCCTGGCAGTCATGTTCTTCCGTGGGCGCCCTGGGCGTCCTGGTACTTTCTCGCACTCCGTTCTCCCCTCAGTCTCTCCCACCGTCGTTTTCTCCTAAGAACCGGATTCCTTTCCACTCTCCGGTCTAGATCCCGCCTTAAAGCTGGGGTTTGAGGTAGGGCTTGAAGATGCGGCCTCTCGGCGCTACCCTGGGTGACCCTGCAATACGAGCACTAGCGAGATGGGGACCATAGTTGCGCCCTGATAAGTCTGAAGTTGAGAAATCTTTTTATCTGTGAAGACCTCCAGCTGCATAAACAGAGGCTGAGAGGCAATAATGACCAAGCAGTTATGTCCACCCATGAGGCCCTGTCCAGCTCTGGGGCCAGGCCTCCTGACAGGGAGCAGAAGTTCCTGGAATCTGAGTTGCCAGGACCAGCTCCCCAAAACGGTTTTGCCTGAATTCCCGCCTCCAGTTCTTTGGCTGTGTTTACTGGCAACAGGGTTCTAGTTCTGGAAGAGGTAGAGGGAAATGAACATAGTTAGCCATCCAGCCGTTTTGGCCCAGAAAATGGCTGCAGGGGCCTGCCCCCGGTGAGCCCCTGACCCAGAGCATGAACTGGAACTGCTGAGTGAATTAGGTAGTTTCATGTTGTTGGGCCTGGACTTGTGATCACAACGACATTAAACCACCCGACTCACGGCAGTTACTGCTCCTCGCTTAGCTGGAGGAGTGGGGTGTGGGGCGAAAGTCTGGACTAGTGCAAAGCGGTGAAGAGGGCTCACGCCCCTCCACCAGCAGCAGCCAGTGTGTTCACCAGAGAGGAGCCCTGGGAAATTCTAGGTTGTCTCCCCACTTGTGTGTGTTTTACCGTGTGTCGGGAGGGAAGGGCACCAAAAGGCACCTTCTCTCCCACCAAGAAAGGCACCTTGCCGGGCTGCTCTGCAGGGCCCGAGGGTGGCAGCTGGGGCTTCAAGAGACCTTCCTTGGGGTCTGGGGCTCCTTTCTGCACTCAGACTTTCCAAGGAAAGTCTCCCCAACTTGGCAAGTGCTTGATTTCAAGAGACACAGGGAGTCCTTGAGGTCTTTGTAGCTCCTGGGGCAGAGGGCTCCACCTCAACAGGAAGCTTTAGGTCCTTGAAGAGGGCGCAGTGCAGTCCATTCTAGAAGGAAAACATCAGGATCCCTTGCAGTTTCAGCTACTAGGCCTCCAGGGTCCTTTGCAGGGCCCCCTAGTGGGGCAGAAGTGGGTTTTTTTTTTAAGTCCTTTTCCCAATCCCACAGTTGGCTCCTTCCCCACCTAGAGGCCAAGGCATCCTCACAGACTCTGGGTCTGGCTGCAGGTTTATGTGGGTGTTGAGAGCCAACCCCTGGGAAAAGGGCCTGACTTGTAGGCTACTGGGGAGCCCAGGCTGTTGGGCAGTTCATCCAGACCGACAGAGTGACAGGAGATGGAGAAGGGGGTGGGGTGGGGGCAAAGCTGTGATACCCTCTTTGACCCCAGCCCTCTCCAGGCTCCTGGCTCTCTGCCCAGGAAAGGAGTAACTACAAGTGCTAGCGGAAGGCATGGGATGGTCCAAAGCATAAGCTAACTTTTGTTCCCTTACCCCCCCCCACCTCCCACCCCTGCTTGAGGCAGAGGAAATGTGGAAAGGGGCCCAACCGGATGGGGCTCCGGCGCCAGGCTGACTTGGAGGGTAAAGGAGGGGGGTCTTTGAACAAGGGGCCTCTGCCCCTCTGCTAGGGGCCCCTTGGGAGACCCACTCCCAACCCAGGGGAAATGCAACCTTTACCCCACTGTCCTGGTGAGCCGAGGCCCGCAGCACTGTCTCTTGATGTCGTCTCGCCCTCCGGTCTGGGTGAAGGGAGTCTGGAGTGCCCTTGCTTCTCCCTGAGCCTCTCACAAACCTGCCCAGCGGCTCGGAGCCTCGCTGTCTTCCATCCCTTGCGTTCCTCAGCCACCCCCTCCCAGGAACAGTGCTGTAAAAAGAAAAAAAGAGGGGGGGGATGTTAGAGAGAAAGGAGGAAATAAAGTCTTTGGAAAGCAGAGAGTTTTACAACAGCCACAGGTTTTATGGAAGCAATTCCGTAACAACCTTCTACCTGCTCAACTCCTTTCTGCCCGGCCTGCCGCCCGCCCCGTTTGGCCTCCTGGACGCTCCCTCCCAAGGAGTCAGCCCCCCCCCCTTTCGAATCCCTGATGTCTGAGAGTTTGGTAAGAAGAGATTCCAGAGATGTGCTTGGGCCGCTGACCTCTCAGTCCTTCCTTTCATCTCGGACATTTTGGAAGGGATGTTGCGCAGCACATTTCGTTACTTTACAATTAAAACCCCCATCTGCAGGGTGTGGAAACACTGAGGTTTGAATTCGTGTGTGCAGATTCGATGTGATTCGTTTGGGAGCTGGTTTTGTAAAGGGGTGAAGGCTCTGAGCACCTCAGTTTCTTCCCCCCACGGAGCGACTGTCCCGTCTCCCTTCCCAGAGGGGGTCTGGGCTCTGATCCTGGGTCAGAAGAAATATCTTGGGGGTGCTTGGGGGCATAGACTGGAGGACTTTTCTAATTTCGTTGTCCACGGCAGTGCTTCAGAGTGACCTCCACAGTTACCGGAGGGCGTTCCCATTAAACTCATCTTTGCCTACTGGTCAGATCACACCATGTGGGACACGCTCATGCACAAGTGATGGTTCCTCCGTCTGGTGCCCATCACTGCCCTGAAGTAAGGATCACAAAACGCACACTCGTCCCTGCAGCTGTAGGTAAGATACGCAGCAAAGGATTTTTTTAGGGGGGAACAAAACATGTCATGAAATTTCATGACCTCCCTGGAAACAATTTGAGGTATTTCCTTCACCTTCCAGATAAATGTTTTAGGAGGAAGTTGTAAAAGAATTCAAATTTAAGTCGCATACATGTGTTCGAGGATGCAATATACATTTTACTTCAATATTAAGTCAACAGGCAGATTTTCAAGTGAAGCTTCCGAATCAGCTCATGGTTTATAGCCATAATTCAAGTACGCACATACTTAAGTTTTGGCCCTTTTCACAGGGGGTGTGATGGCTATAAGAATGTACACGCAAGCTTTTGGATCATAGATCTCATACGAGTAAAACTGTAAATCTACATAACTCACAGGGTTGTCCACGCATCCACTTATGAACCATTAGATTCTACGTGTGAAAGCGTAAGCACATCCAGTATTACGGTTGGGCAGATTTACTTATTACATATTCTATACATAGCACAGAGCACGGCACATTTGCACACCGGGTTCAACGTGGATTTGAAATATATGTACAGGGTATACACATCTATTGAAACACAGCATGCATAAATTTCAGCTTAGTTTACCCATGAAAAACAAACTTCCCCTTTTCCTATTTATTGTTTTTGGGTTTTTCTTTCTTTCCATTTTCCCCTCTGCCTAAAATTTCTCTCTCTTCTTACTGACAAGGACCCTTCTAAAATCCGCCCCTGAATCGAGGCACTCACCGGCTGGTCCTGGCCAGGGCTGGCCTCTGTGTTCCCCACCTCGGCCTCACTCAGCAGGGCTCTGGGCCCCGGTGCGGCCAGGGGCTGCAGCTCTGCCCTTCCTGCTCTGCCCGGAGCTCCCAGAGCCCGGCCCCAGCTGTGCTCAGGCCCGGCTCCTGTGCAGGGAATGGCAAGAAGCTTGGAGGGAAGGCAGGGTTTTCCTTGTTTCTCTTTAGGATGGGGGGTGGGGTGGGGAGCAGTTTGCTCCCTCAGGACAAAGTGACCCCACTCAAGCAACCCCTATTAAGCAGCTTTAGAAACTGGGCTCCGGGGGCTGCAATCCTGTTTGCCTCCCTCAGGCGTGGTAGGTGCCATTGTCTGGGAGAAAAAACAAGGTTTGGTCGGGGGGTGGTCACGGGCCCTTAACACCCAAACAGGGGGCTCCTTCTCAGCCAACCGTTTAATCATTTGCTTGAACAGGAGTTGAGCTCCGATTTGGAGCAACAGTGCTTTCTAGAAAAGCCTATATCTGCGTGGGACTCATTGCGTGGCACACCAAGTCCCCACCTGGACGGAGGTGAGCTGTGGTGCAGACGCCAGGGCCTGGTGCTAGTTCGTGCTTTTCCTTCCAGTCACCTCTCCTGAGGGGACTGAGGCCCTCAGAGCCTGTCACTTTGAAGTTGTCCCCACCCTCCAGCTTCCTTGTGAGCTAAGGCTAATCTCTGGTCTCAGAAAAGAGGTCTGGGTCCCCTCCTTATTCGACACCCAGAGAGCCACCAGGGGTTCGGGGCAACTGGGGGACAGACAGGAGCCCCCAGCCTGGACCCTGCCTGCTGGGACGTTCCAGCCTGGGAGGGCAGGGGCCATGGCCCTCATGTCCTTCTAGCTCTAACTTCCTCCCTGAGCTCAGTGGCCCCCTTGACTGCTCTCTGGAGCGGCAAAGCCAGGGTGGGGAGTGGCAGCCGGAGGGCCGCAGTCGGTCCCGAGCCCACACAGCCCGCGTCTGTGGAACAACCTCGCGCTGTGGCTTCTCCATAAATTAAAAGAAGTCCCTGCCCCGCGTCCGCATGTCCTTTTGGACCCTAATTTATATATTGCACAAGGCCATCTACTCAGCCCGCCATGCTTCATAACACCATTATTTATGGCAGGAGAGATCTTTTTCCTGAAGAATATATTTATTACAGGTAAAGCCAACAGCAGACTCCATACATCTGGCAAATTGAGAACAGGTGCTTTGCCTTAAAACTGTGATTCATTCACACTGCGCCCAGCTTTCTCGCGGGCGAGTCCGGCAGCTCCCTCCACTTTCCCAAGCGTCCTACCGCTACTTAGAAGAATTGGCATATTTTTTTTTTTCTCCACACTTGGGTCCCCTGGAAAAAGCAGATCTTCCAGCTGTTCAGTTCCGGAAATGCTGGGCTGTCGCCCTCGGAGAGCTGGGGTGGAAAAGGAGGGGGGGGCGGCTGGGCGCCTGCATTGATCTTTAAAAAATCATTTTGAAATCGCCATAATGTGAAGAAATATGGCGCTTCGCCCTCGTATTTCACACGTAATGACACGAGATGGCTTCATTTGGAAAGAAAAGCGGGTGGGAGGGTGCGCGTGTGCGGAGGTGATCTGCAGCCTTCTGCACGGGCAGAGTGGTAAACGGCCAAAAAGATAAAACATCAGATTAGAATGGCCCTACTTTTGTTCAAATAATGGGGCTGGAGACAGCCTATTTTTTAAGGACTCAGGGTCGGGGAATGCCGAGAAAAGCTTCCCCTGCCTGCCCCTCAATGCAACCCGAGGAGCACCGGGTCTGTCCAGGGGCCACCCTCCCGGGGCGCCCACACCACAAGAAGTGACTGCGCCCAGGGCCGAAGCGGGAAGAGCAGAGATGAGCCAGGGAGCCAGCCAGTGGGATTCGGGGAGGGGGGTGTGGATCCCAGCTCGGGGCCGGAAGAACTGATACCAACAGAACAGGGGATTTGGAAGCTGCGGTGAGAGAGGCGCGGGAGGGGAGGCCCAGGATGAGCAGGAGACCGACCCCCGCAGGCTCACTGTCTGTGCTGGCGCCCGGCACTGGTGTTTGGAAATCTTTCCGAGTGACGGTGTCAGGTGAAAGGAGCCGGACAAGAGAGGCGAGTGGCTCAGTCCTCACTGGGCTTCCCGCACCTCTGCTCCTCTGACACCTTAGGGGACGTGCCCTTAGTCCTTTGTCAGTTCAGCTCCCCCATCTGAGCGATTCTCAGGGCCTGGCCTGTTACTCAGCGGAGGAAAGGAGAAATGGCTGTCCCCTTCACCTCATACTTCCTTTCGGCCAGGGCCAGAGAGAGGCCCAAGACATTTAAAGGAGCTTTGGCTAGTTGTATTAAACTCAGAGGCTCAACTTTCCAGGGCCTGATGGATCCCTTTAAACTCACGAAGGTTCTAGGTTTAGGACAGCTGAAGTTTAGGACAGGATTTCTGGACATTCACCCCCTTACATCACCCCCCTCTCCTCTCTCAGCCACTGAGGGGTCAGGAGAAGATCCCGGGCCCTTCACCCTCCTCAAACGGTCACAGGGAGCCCCCTTCAGAAAAGGGTAGCGTCTCAAAAACTCCCAACTTCTATCCCCCATTATTTCCAGTGGATCGCTGCTGCGCAGTTGTTTAATAAACATTTTGTGTCAAGGGGACAGAAAAGAGGAAGCGAGGGGCCCGCGGGGTGGCGTGGAGGTGCGTGTGCGGGGGTGGGGGGGGCAGGACCACTTCCTCTTTAATTGCGCTGTGGGCCCCTCTGGCTGCTCCCAGGCTGGGGCGCTCTCCCTCTCAAGCCCGCCTGGGGAGAGGGCTCCGCAGCCCGCGTCCCTCCCGAGGCAGCCCGCTGCTCTCCCTCCGCCTCTCCTCCTCCCCCGCCGCCCCACGTCGAGAACCAGCCCCCCTTCCTGCAAAAGGCGGGGGGACCGGGAGGCCGGCTGCTCCGGCTGAGGTTACGTGGCCGCCCGAGCCCTGACGTGATAGCACATTGCATCAGCATAAAACAATCCATCCTCGATATGGAATGCGGTGCGGACGCATGACAGAGAGCGCGCAGCCCCCGAGCCCGATTGATTTATGTCGGAGCTGACGCTTTATCAGGCAGTCGGAAAAACTTTGACCAATCATTTTGCAAGGAGCGCTGAGCCGGGCTGCTCCACTGTACTTTGTTGGCTGAGAAGTTGAGCAGGGGGTGGGGGTGGGAGGGTGGGGGGCTGGGGGGGGTCGCGTCCGAAAGCCCTCACACCGGTCTGGGCGCCACCTCTCTCCCTGCTTGGGCGCCGCCGCGCGAGCGCTTCCCTTCCCCCTGCGAGCGCCCGGATAATGTCTGAGAATGTCCATTTCTGGGACGCTTAGCAGCTATTATGTCGACTCGATCATAAGTCACGAGAGTGAGGACGCGCCTCCAGCCAAGTTCCCTTCCGGCCAGTACGCGAGCCCGCGGCAGCCGGGCCACGCGGAGCACCTGGAGTTCCCCTCGTGTAGCTTCCAGCCCAAAGCGCCGGTGTTCGGCGCGTCCTGGGCACCGCTGAGCCCGCACGCGTCGGGGAGCCTGCCGTCCGTCTACCACCCCTACATCCAGCCCCAGGGCGTCCCGCCGGCCGAGAGCAGGTACCTCCGCACCTGGCTGGAGCCCGCGCCGCGCGGCGAAGCGGCCCCGGGGCAGGGCCCGGCGGCGGTGAAGGCGGAGCCGCTGCTGGGCGCGCCGGGGGAGCTGCTCAAGCAGGGCGCGCCCGAGTACAGTTTGGAAACTTCGGCGGGCAGGGAGGCCGTCCTGTCTAATCAAAGACCCAGCTACGGGGACAATAAAATTTGCGAAGGAAGCGAGGACAAAGAGAGGCCGGATCAAAGTAAGTTATAAAAAGTGAGGAAGACCGAGGCCGAAGGCCAGGCGAGGGGGGAGGGGACGGGAGAGGCAATAAACTGCGGACAATGTGAAGGGGAACCGCGGCGGTGGCCGGAGAGCGAGCCGAGAGGAGGGAGGAGGGAGGCGGGCAGGAAGCAGGCTGGGTGCCCCGAAGGGAGCCCGAGGCCGCGGGAGGAGCGGCGCCCCCACGGCGCCGAGTCCTGCAGGGACCTGGGGCGCTGGGACCCTCTCGCTGCTCTCTCGGCCTCCCTTCCCCCCACACTCCGGGAGACCTGGCTGGAAGCTCGGGGAGACGCTGGGCGGAGAGGGGAGCTGGCGGGGCCGGGGAGGCTGCCAGCGAGGCGGAGTGCCCGCGCGGGCCAGGGCGGGAGCGCAAGGGGCTGCCCGGGCCCGCGCGGCTGGCAGAGCTCCCCGCGCCACGCTCAGACCGTAAAAGCCGGCCAAGGGGAAGTGGGAGGGGGCTCATTAGGATTTTATTTGCGATGCAACAGCTTGGCGGAGGACTGAGCCTAGCAGATCTCGCGCAGTAGCGGCTGAGGGTCGGCCGCCGGCGTTTGGAGGGGCGGGGAAGCCCAGGAACCGGTGACTGAGCCCCCTCCCCGGATGCGCCGGCCCCTCCCCGGAGCCTTCCCCCGGCCTCCTCCTCCCCTCCTTGGCATCCCCTCCAGGGCTGCGGCTTCCTTTTCTGCAGCGCCCCGCTGCTCTCCACAGGGCTCCCTGGCCCCAGCCCGTGCTGCCCGCCTCGCAGGGAGTCGGGAATCTCTCCCGAACTTTGGGGCCGACAGCCAGAGGGAGAAGGAGAGATCCCAAAGGGACCCTGGGGAGAGGAAGGATGGGGAAAGAGGCTTGAGGAGAGCTAGAGAACTGTACCCTCCGACAGCAGTTCCATATCGTCTCCCAACTCCTCTATAAGCACCTCCGCCAGGAACCCAGGTCTGGCCGGTTTCCTGGAGGTGCTGCTGGCCGAGGGTGGTGGTGGTGAGTCTCGTGTGTGTTGTTTTCAAGGCTGAAAAGACAGCGTTGGATGGGGGCTCTTTACCCCAACCCATAACCCTCGGGCTGGTGGGGACAAGTCCTCACCTGGTCCACTTTTTGGAGAGTGGGGGTCGGATTTTTTTCCTCTCTCCTTGACTGGCCAGATTTCCCAGCAACAGAGGCGGGGCACAGGCCCTTTGGGGCACCCCTACTGCCCCTCTCCCCTGAGGTCCCTGTGGGGTCCCACCAGCCAGGTTGGATAATACGGGCTGGCATTTGAGTGCCACCGATTCTTCCCAAACCCTCCCTGCTCACACCCAAACAGACCCCCGCCCCCACCCTGCAAACCCCAAACTGCCTGGAAAGCCCATTACTGCAAGGCAGCAGTTTGGTGAGAATCAATTATTAACAGTTTTTTTCCTCTTTCATATTTAATGCGAATGTGGGTCTCATCACAGGCACTCACATTAAGGAAATAGTGCTGCAAATCGGTAAGACATGGTACTCAGTGTAGGAGGAACCAGGTTATTTTTTAAAATAATATATTCAGTGCTTTTCTTATTTGGAGAGAAGGACTCGAGCAGAGGGTGGCTATTATTTTGAACAGCTCTGCTTTATTTGGCAACTTTTCTTGAGTTCCAGGGTAGGAAGAGAGACAGTGAGGGCGAGAGAAGCCTGTGCATATTTTTATGTCCTCCCCCCCACCTTCCACTCAATTCCCCTTTTCTCAGTTCCCCTTCACCACATGGAGCTGCTTGGAGTTAGGTGTGCTGTGAGTGACCTTCTGTTACCCCCACATTGTCCATGGCTCCCTGCAATGGGACCAAAACATTCTTGCTTCCCGTTTCCCTGAACTTGCTTTAACCAAAATGTGAGCTGAGCAGGAGCGGAAAAGGAGAGACTATTGCAACCATAAGTTATCTGTGAGTCCCTGGTGCTCCCTTGTCCACAGACCGGAGTTGATGAATGGTTGCAATCGGGGCTGCTTGTGAATTGGAGTGCGCTGGGTGTTTGTGTCTCTGAGCTTGGACCTGTGTTTGTGGTATGTGTGTGTGGGGGGAGGTGTCTACACAGACACACATGCCTGCTGCCATGTGGCCAAGGGACTTGAGCTTGTGACCAGGGCACAGCATCCTGGGACTGCACTGAAGGGCCAAGCTGTCTTGTGGCTGTGGCTGAGCAGAAGCTCCCTCTCCTAGCCCAGTCCTTCTCTCACCTCGCAGACCTGGAGCCAGGGCCCTTCAGGTCAGCCACCCCCCCCCCATTGGCCCGACCCATGGTGCGGGGAGGGGTTGGCCGTGCTGAGCTCTGGCCTGAGTCCTCACCATTTTGGAGTGAGTGTAGGAAGAGACTGAAACAGGCCCTGAGGCAGGCAAAGCTTTGGAAGCGCTGAGCAGCCTGGCACATGGCCGGCTCCCTCCTGTCCAACTAACTGCTCACCTGGACATGTCTGTAGCAACTCATGGCTCGTTGCTGGGGCCCCTCCTTGGAACTTGAAGGCCCAGGTGCCCCTTTCTCCAGTGTAAGATGGGAAGTGGAAACCAGGGCCGTGCCTTCTTGGAAGGAGAACTGGAGGGCCCTGCACCCCTACCCCCTTCCTTTCTTTGATTCTATCGCTGCTTCTCTTTCAGCCAACCCTTCTGCCAACTGGCTTCACGCTCGCTCTTCCCGGAAAAAGCGCTGCCCCTACACCAAATACCAGACGCTGGAGCTAGAGAAGGAGTTTCTGTTCAATATGTACCTCACCAGGGACCGTAGGCACGAAGTGGCCAGACTCCTCAATCTGAGTGAGAGACAAGTCAAAATCTGGTTTCAGAACCGTCGGATGAAAATGAAGAAAATGAATAAGGAACAGGGCAAAGAGTAAAGATCCCCCCCCCGACACACTTCCCACCCCTTTCCCACCTCACGCTTATTTATGAGTGACGGCCCCAAGGCCAGTGCTGTCTGGGATACACGCGAGTGCGTGGGGAAGGGAGTCTTGCTCTTCAGAGTCCTTTCCTGCCATCTAGAGCCTCTCTCCTTCGCTCTGACCAGCCCTCCCCTCCCTGGGCCTCAGGAGGAAGTTTCGTTAATTTAGAAGATAGATGTAGTTGGTTGCTAAGGAGGGGGTGGGCCACAAGGAAAGGAAGACCCTAGTCCAGTCCCTCGCGATCCCCTCTAATTTTTGTGGGAAGCCCCAGCCCCTGGCTTCCAGCCCTTCCCGTCTTCCCCACACCTATCCCAGAGTCACCAAGGGTCACTCCAACTGCAAACAGCCCACCAGACGCCCGCATGCCTACGGCCTGGAGCCTGCACCAGTCAAAGGGGAAAGCTCACAGCCAACACTCCAATGAGGTGACCTCCCAAGGGCACCTCAGATCCGTTAGAACAGCCAGAGGACCATCAGGCGAGATCCTACCCCTGATGCAAACACACAGCAAGATGTCTAGAGACGCGCCTCTGACGGAGGCATCGCAGCCCAAAGGACTGAATATGGCAACACCAAACCCACAGAACCCTCTACTCTGCCCCGCCCGACCCAAGGGCAAGGGGCCTGCTGAACGCAGCCCCCAAGCGGGTGCGCTAGAAAGGGCAAGGAAAGGCAGCTGCGGTCTTAGCAAGGTGTTGTAGGTTTTAGGGAGGTATTCCACACGCATCCACACACGTGTTGTCGCAGGATCTGTCTAATGCTGCATGTTCTTTTCCTCTCCCGACAAAAGGGGATCCGATCGCGGCTCGTAAGCCTTGACAATGTTGTGCATCTGTTCACCCGCGCCCCGCCTGACAGACTGTAGCTTCTCTCGCTCTACACCGGCCCCTGCATTCTTCCGCATCCTCCCAGCTCTGAAGTCATCTCTGTTTGGTCAAGTCCACCTTGCACCAGCGAGTCAAGCCGCCCCTTGTAGAAACCCCTCCACCCTCCATCCCCTGCTAGGCCGACCCCGCCGTAGGCAGGACAGCCAGGGCGGCAGAGTCCCACGGAGCATTTATTGAGAATCGATTCCCGAGCTCCCTTCCTGGGTAAGTTGTGGGGGAGTGAGAGAGCGAAGCCTCCAGCCAGTGGCATTAGGCGTGTTCCTCCTCATCCTGCCCACGTCCGGAGGAACCCCTGGCTTGGCGGCTGCCCGCCCCAGCGCAGAACGAGAAGGGCCCCAGCTGCCCGCCTTTGCTTCCGGCGACACGGGCCTGGATGGCGATCTGCGCGGCTGCCGAGCGCACGCTTCTGGGGGACAGTCCCGCGTGCAAAGGAAAGAGGCGGAATGGCCCCTAAGCATCAGGCCGAAGCTCACCCTCTGCTCCCCTCCCGCCCCCTGCTCCCCAACCTCTCCAGCCCCTTTCAATTCCATGGACTCTTGCTTCCGCGTCTCCCGCCCCTGCAAGGGGACATTCCAGTAGAACTTTTTGGCTTTGTCGGTGGCTGTCGTGAAATTGTGCTGTGTTTTGTGATTTCTTTGGGGGTGATTGTCTCGCCTGTCTTCAGTTGTCGCTTATGTAGGAGGGTGGTGGGTGGGAGTGGGGAGGGTAAGGGGCCTAGAGCTCTGATTGTTTTTGGAAGAAAAAAATGAGAAAAACAACAAAAATATATATATCACTCTAGAAAACAAATCTCTCCTGTGTCTTATTCTGTGCTGGCCCTCCTCGCCTAGCCAGTGGTAGAGATCCTAGTTCCAAGTGGGTGGTGTGAGGAAAAAAGGAGAGAGGCCCCTGTGCCCAAGAAGTTCCTCCTTAGACCTTTGCTGAGCGGGCTTCCTGGAGGAGCCGACGGAGCCGGAGCCTCCCGGCAGGAGAGCTGGGAGACTGGGGGGAGAGGAAAGGGAAGATGGGCAGCTGGGAAAGGAAGTCTGGTCTTGCTTCCTCCGAAGTGGCACTGGGGGTCCCCCCACAGACTCCGGAGTCAGAGGAAAGTCAGGGCCAGCCATGCAGCTCCGGGAAGTAGTTACTCTCTTGGGGGTAGAGCGGGGAGGCCAAGAATGTCACCTTGGTGTGGCCACTTTAAAACATCAGGCAAGTAAGGAAGGCAGTAACTTTTTTCCTCCCGCTTTTCCCCGAGAGGCAGGGCAACTGGGTAGGCAGAGGCCTCTGGAAGGCTGCGCTCTCCTTTCTTCCACTCCAGGGGAGTCCCACCTGGAATTTGAGGTGCCAGTCTGAGCCAAAGGAAGCTGCCCTGGTTTAAAGCGGGTGGAGGAGGGTAGGGGCGGGAAGGCCGCTCCCAGAGGCGGAAAGAGAGGATTGAATGTGGAACAGAATTGTCCCAGGAGAAACATCCCCATCCAGCTGGACCCCAGAGCTACACTCCACTGGGAGAGGTGCCTTTCTGTACCTCTCGGACTGTGCTGTCCCCACCCGGGCTCCTCCGAAGCCCACTGTTCTCAGGCAGCGCTGCCCTTTGCATCCACGCTTTGGGATTTGGCTTCTGCCGGGCTGGCGCTTGGGAACCCGCTTCCCGCCCCCTGGAGACTCCCACCCCGCTACCCCAGTGTGGCCTGCAAGGACCCTGCAGTCCAGGTAGAGGTAGGGGCAAAGCGTAACCTAGAACCCGAATGAAAGGATCCTGGAAGCGAAAAGGCCAGGCCTACCCCTCTCCAGCGAACGAAAGGGTGTACCAATCAGAGACCGAGCCGGGGGCTGGAGAAAGTGGAGCTCCGGGGTGTGGTGGGGCCCGGCACCCCAGCCTCCAAGGGGTCCATTCCGGGTAGAAAATGAATCTGGCTTTAGAGCCTGCGTAGACTGGGTTCCCCAGCCTGGGCTCCCTGGAGCCAGCTGGGGCTGCGCGTGGCGGAGAAGGCCGGGCTCAGCCCAGAGCAAAGGCCGAGAACCAGGCTGGGACCTGCAGGGTAGGGGTGAGGGCGCAGGGGGAAGCCTCCAGCGGCGTCTGGGTCCTCAGCCAGTGGAGGCTTCTTTAAAGACAAACAAAGGCGAAGATGCGGAGGCTGGGAAGCCGGAGATGGGGAAATCTGCTGTCATAAAAGAGAGCGAGATATTCAGGGAGGAAGACCGAGAGAGTGCGAGACAGAGAAGCCGGAGAGGAATTCAATGCCGTGTGCGCAGCAATAAAAGAATATGACCGCTATAAAAGTTTATAGCGTATAAATTTCTGAAGGTTAAGAAACTGAACAGCAGCAAAGCAAACAGTGAGGGGAAACTTTCCGGAGCCGAGAGAGCCGCAGCTGGGTCTGGGCTCGGGTCTGGGGGTGGGGGGCTGTCCACAGCCCCCACCTCCACCGGCCAGTGACTGGGCTTGGGGCTTCCGGGGCCCCAGGGCGCAAAGAGGGAAGAGGGAAGGGGGGACAGAAAACACTTTGTTGTCGCACATGTTTTAGAGAACGCAGTCGGGACCCTTGTCTTTGTTCTTCACACCCCCTCCAGAATCGGACGTCATAAAGAAGCCCCCTGCACACACACACACACACACACACACACACACACACACACACACACACGCAGGTCCGGCGGGGCCAGACGTCTGGGCGCAGGCAACCGCCCGGTCCTTTTCCAGCCCCACTGCGCCCTCAAGGCCTCCTTTCCACCCCCCACCCCCACCGAAAAGCCCAATTGTTTCTCCTCGGAATTTGAAACAATCGTATTCGTCTGAAAGGTGCTCGGCTGCCCCTTTTACCGGCCACGAACGGCGCACTGCTCGGCGGTCTCCGCCAGAACTTCGGGTCTTGAAACGGGGCGCAGGAGAGCAAAAACCTTCGGCTTTTTTATTTTCCTCCCTCCCCACCCCCTCAACCTTTTTTTTTTTTAGCTTATCTTCACGATTGTATGAACCATTTCCCGACTTCCGATGCATTTTCTCTCGCCTGCTCTCGTTTCCCTCCCCCTTTTCTGCCAATCGTGAAAGTTTCTCCCCGCCGGTCGCCCGGTGGCCGCCGCCCCTCCGGGAAACTGGCCGGGCCCGGGAGGCGGCGCCTGTTCTCGGGGCGGCCGCTAGATGGCAGCCGTGCTCCACGCGAAAATCCCGGGAGCGGCGGCGGCGGGCGCCGGCGGAGGCCCCTCGCACCTCGGTCGGCCCAGAATCTACGAACTGAGCGCTACCAGAAGTCATGAATAATTTGCGCGTAATAAAAATAGAAGCTTCATTATGGCTGTTTCCCCCATTTTATAGATTTCAGATGTGCTCGTATTGCCCCCCTCTCCTCAAATGGTCAATTTTCTGAATTTCCCCCAGGAGGAGGGCTCGGCGCTGCTTATCCACCCAGGTTCTGGGTGCGGTGGGCCAACAAATGCATGAGAACGGGGAATAATAGTAGTAGTAGCAATAATAATAATAATGATGATGATGATAGGAATAACGGGTCTAACTAAAAGAGGGGAATTGGTGCGGGGGGAGTGAGAGCTTCCCGGGGAGGGGGCCACGGGGAGGCCCGCGGACGCGGGGGAGCCCGTCAGGTGAGCGGGGAGAACCGGCAGGAAAAGGTCGGAGGAAGAGGAAGCTGCGGGGAACCTACCGCCCGGACCGGCGGCGGGAGAGGGAGCCGGGTGAGCCAGCCTGCGGGTGGGGCGGGGGTGGGGACGGTTTGCGGGGAAACGGATCCGCGGCCCGGGTGGGGGTCGGAGGCGCCCGTGGGCGGCGGCGGGGCGCGCGGCGCGGGCGCCTTTGTAAGTGTCGGGTCCGGGCTGGGCGCGCGTCGGGGGGACCCGGGCGCCGGGCAGCGCCTCCGGGAACGGCGAGGTGCGGGGAAGCTCCGGGGCGTCTTCGGGTGGTTCTGCGCCCCCGGGTTGAGCCGCAAAAACTTGCGCGGTTCGCGGCCGCGTGGAGGGGCAGGAACGGCGGGGGCGGCAGGGGGCTCGGTTTTCCCCGCGGTCCGCGATTGCCGGGCGTGCGCTCGGGTCCGCGCGCCAACGTGGGCCGCGCGGTTCGCTTCCGAATTTTGCAGCTGGAGGCCTGGGCTGCGGGAGTTTCTCGTTCTGAGACCCGTGCGCTGTCCGCCCATCGCCCCTTGGATTCCGCATCTGTTTCCCGCTGGCCCAGTCCCGTCCGTGCCCCTCCTCGGGACAAACCTGAGCGAGAAGTAAGTCCCCCCGCCCTAAAACTAGCCGGGCCGCAGCCTCTCCTCTCTCCGCCCAGGAGCAGGTGCGAAGAGGCCGGCGGAGTTTCTCAAGTTGAGTTCCTCTAATAAATCTGCGCTCCGTTGGGTGTTTATAAATTATCTCCTCGCTCGTTCTTGTTTTTCCTTATAATAGAAACATTTTCCTTCCATCAGGAATTTCTGGCACGGTGTAGGGATGATTTAGAACAAGCCATTGAATTTCTACCTCACCGGTGAGTCCTCAAATCATGACCATAAAATCCGCCGCACTTGATAAAAATGTTCGCTCCGGCAACAACTTAACTCGCCCTTCCAGTGCCTCGCCGCCCTCCTAGATCGGGGCTGAAGATTTGAGACCTCTCCCTCCTTTCCCTCCTCTCTCCCTCCCTCTCCCGTTCTTCACATTCACTTTTGAAGGGCCAAGTGGCCGCAGTGGTAACTTCCCCTTAGAAAGGCGGTGGTTTCATTTTTACAAACGTTGGGGTGAATCCGATCCCCAAAAAGCACTCTTCTGAATACAGACCAAACCTCTCTCCTAACTGAACAGTTAATCGAATGTATCTGTAAAGCCCCCACTTTTGTTGCTAGAAATTTTCTCTCCTCTCTCTCCCTTCCTTCTTTCTTTTCTTCCCTTCCTTTGGCCAGGGAGCTCCTTCCGGAGACCGTTGGTTCAGACCCTCAGACCAGGGCCTTCCAAAGCCTAGTCACCACTGTCACTAGGCCCGACAGGCCAGAGAAGGCCACCGGCCGGAGAGCATGGCACCAGGTCGGCTCAAAACGGCGGGTCTGTTTCAGGCCCAGGTCCTCGGGTCTGGAGGGAGAGCTTAACCGCAGGCTGTCAGGGGGGAGGAGAGAGAAAACAGGGTGCTCAGTGGCCTTGCTGCATCTCTGTCCCCTCTACCCCAAGGTTAGTTTAGGCCATGTCAGTGGCTCAAAGGACGCTGAGAGCTAAAAGGTGTTCCCTTCTCACACACCATGCGGCCACTGCCGAGGGCAGAGCAGGGCGCAGGACAGCGGGCAGCCAGGCCAGGTGCCAGGGCCTCAGTGCCCAGCAGTGGCCCCCACTTCCCTCCCATGTGCTGATGGTTTCAGCCGCTCCCTCTCACCCCAGGATGCTGAAGGCCGGCCTGGGAAGGGTGGGGGCCAAGTGGGCTTGGTTGCTGGGTCCCCAGGTCTGGGCGCAGAGGTGGGGCAGCCCGACTGGATGTCATCCTGCTGGTGGCATCAGGCCTCTCTCCCATCAACACAAAGTTGGTCCCCCAAGGTGTTGACTGGGGCCCAAGTGCCTTCTAGAGACCTCCTCCCCATTCCCGCACTCCCCAAAGCGAGGCTGGGCGACGCTGCAGGATCCTGGGGTGCAGGGGGACTGTGCTCAGTGCCTCCCCCATTAACCAGAAAGTTTCTCCTCCCCGCCCCGGTCCCTGCTGAAGCCCTCCCAGACCCCTTCTCCAAAGAAAACCCGTGCTTGTTTGTCGAATAGGGGAAAGCCGGTGAGCGGCCTGGGTGGGGCAGGGAGGGGGTGGTTGGGGGCTCCAGAGAGGGGGTGGGACAGGTGCTGTCACAGCTGAGGAGGCAAAAAATCTCGGAAAAGTCACCGTTTGCGCCGAAAAAAAACCCATAATCGTTTTCATTTCGGCTTCGTCACCCCCACCGTGCTGCAGCCGGGCGGCGGGGGCGATCGAAGCTGCAGTTTTATAGCTGTAGAGGAAAGAACTCGTAAAATGCTAACAGCTTTTATGCGCTGCGGCATAAACAACAACAGACTCCGGCTTTATTGCGTTTTATAGTTTGTTAAAGAGTTTACAGCCGTTTTTTGGGGGGGCCGGTTACCCAGCCAATTCCCCCTACAGGATAGTTAAACCTTTATCAATAATAAGGAAATTGATCATTAAAGCTTTAAATATGACTACCTCGTTTGTTTGAAAATATGTTTAGGAGAGGAAGCTGTATGATTTGATAACTTGTATTAAAATACCAATTACATTTATAGGACCTTTTAAAACTCGGCGCAATTAAACCGTGTTCTTTTACATTTTTCCGAAGCGACCCTGACATTTAAAAAGACTCCAACTGCCTCGTTAAAATCACGAAATTAACAGCGTGCTTACGCCCGGCGCGTTGTGTCTGTGTGTGTGCGTGGTTTTTTTCCGTGACTCCCCCACATCAGTCTTTGGGGGTGGTCTGCGAAGGTATTTGATTTGTTGTGAGGCGAGAGATATCTCATTAATGTAGGTAGTTAAACAGATTTAATCCGTATTCATTCTCTCTCACCCCCTTTCCTCTCCCCCTCTCTCTCCCCCTCTCCCTCCCTGGGTGTGTGTGTGTGTGTGTTTTTTCCTTCCCCTCCTTTTCCCCCCCTCGCTCTCGCCTCACTCCCTGGCGCTCCCTCGCTCTAGCTCTCTCTCTCGCTCGCGCTCTCTCGCTCGCACCCTCGCTCTGCGTTCTGTCCGGGAGGAGTACGGAGAAGCCAATAGGATGCGGGGTCTCTAATGGATGCAAATGATCATGAAAAGACAGTGCAAAATATGAAACAACTCATTTGCAGGGAAGTAAATCACCGAAAACTGTTTATGAACTGGCATCCTTTCTTCGAAATGTAAAGCGAGGACCTCTTTAAGTGGCGGTATATTTTTGTTTGGGGGGTGGGGGGTGGGGGGAGGGTGCGCGAGCCGCGGCTGCCATGCAAGCTTAGACTTTTGGAGGCTTCGCTGTCCTTTTCTATTCCTGGAAATCACAAAAAGTGTGGTGGCTTCGAGATCTTCTTCGCCTTTTCTTTCTTTTCCCTTTTTTTTTTTCCTCCTCCCTTTCCCTCTCCTTTCCTGGCGAGGGTGACTAGGAGCCGGCGAATCCGCGTTTTTTTTTCTCTCTCTCCCTCCCTTTCCCCCTCCCCACCCCCTCCCCAACAGCCCCCAACTACAGCCGCCGCCGCCGCCGCCGCCGCTTCAAAATTCAATAAAATGAGCTCTTATTTCGTCAACTCACTGTTCTCCAAATACAAAACCGGGGAGTCCCTGCGCCCCAATTATTATGACTGCGGCTTCGCCCAGGACCTGGGCGGCCGACCCACCGTGGTGTACGGTCCCAGCAGCGGCGGCAGCTTCCAGCACCCGTCGCAAATCCAGGAGTTCTACCACGGGCCGTCGTCGCTGTCCACGGCTCCCTACCAGCAGAACCCGTGCGCCGTGGCGTGCCACGGGGACCCGGGCAACTTCTACGGCTACGACCCGCTGCAGCGGCAGAGCCTGTTCGGCGCGCAGGACCCAGACCTGGTGCAGTACGCCGACTGCAAGCTCGCCGCCGCCAGCGGCCTGGGCGAGGAGGCCGAGGGGTCCGAGCAGAGCCCGTCGCCCACCCAGCTCTTCCCCTGGATGCGCCCGCAAGGTGAGCTCGCCGCGGGGCGGGAGGGAGACCTGAGGGCCCAAGGCCGGCCACGGGGCCGGACAGGCCGGGGCGCATTTCCTCCAGCTCCTGCTGGACCTGCCTGCTCCGCGCAGAGGGCCTCCCTCTTCTGGCTTCCTTCCTTCCTTCCTTTTTTTTTCTTTCTTCCTTTCTTTTTTTTTTCTTTCATTTTTTTTTGTTTCCCTTGAAGGAGGGTCTCTAAGAGACATTTCCTGAACCCATAAACCCCTCACCCCGCCTTACTTTTCTTCTTCTCCCCCTCCTCTTCCCCCCTTTTACTGTTTTATGGGGGGTAGTGGAGAAAGGGTGGTGGGAGTGGGGGCGCTCAACTTTTGCACTTCTCAATTGCTTTATAGTTTAATTACCCTGAAGAAACTTTTCTTCTGGGGCAGAGGCTCTGGGGGCTTTTCAAGGTGGGTCCATTCGTTCCCATCCCGGCTTTTTTTATTCTTATTTCCCCCTCCTTCACATCCTTCCTTCTAAAGTTTATGGCACTTTTAATAGATTTGAACCACCCCTACCCCACTCTCTGGTGCTTGTTGCCGGGGGAGAGGGCTTCCCCTTCTGGTTCCCTTAAATTCCGTGGCGTCTGATCCCCCTCCCCCCCGCCCCCGCTGACCGCGGCCTCCCAGCACCCCCTCCCCCGCGCGGGGTAGAAGGTCCCCTCTGCCCTTATTATGCTGGTCTCCGAGGCTGGTTCACGAATCTCCCAACCTTCTCCGTCTCTGTCCCCTCCCCCACCCTCCCCTCCCTCCGTCTCGCCCTTTCCCCCCTTCCCAGCAGCCGCCGGACGCAGGCGAGGCCGACAGACCTACAGCCGCTACCAGACCCTGGAGCTGGAGAAGGAGTTTCTATTTAACCCCTATCTGACTCGCAAGCGGCGGATCGAGGTGTCGCATGCGCTGGGACTGACAGAGAGACAGGTCAAAATCTGGTTCCAGAACCGGAGGATGAAATGGAAAAAGGAGAACAACAAAGACAAGTTCCCCAGCAGCAAATGCGAGCAGGAGGAGCTGGAGAAACAGAAGCTGGAGAGGGCCCCGGAGGCGGCGGAGGAGGGCGACGCGCAGAAGGGCGACAAGAAGTAGGCTCCCAGTGGGACTGCCAGGGCCGCGGCCGTCCTCCGTCCGCCCGCTCCCCGGCTGCGCCGCCGCCGCCCCCGCCCGAGCGAGCTCCGGTCCCGCGAGCGGGGCCCGGAGCCTGGCCTCCCACCGCAGCGTCCCCACCGCGCCAGTTCCCGCTAGTGGTAGTATCTCGTAATAGCTTCTGTGTGTGAGCTACCGTGGATTTCCTTCCCTTCTCTCGGGGGTCGTGGGGAGAGACAAGGGTTGTAAGCAAGGACTCCCTCGCCCCGCGAGGGTGAGCGGCTGCGGCTTGGCTGAGCCCCCCCCCGCCCCCGCCCCCTGTAAAAAAGCCTCCTGTGCAATGGTCTCTTTTCCTCTGAACGTGCTTCTTTGTAACGACCGAGGTACCGATTTCTGCTAAGTTCTCCCAACAACATGAAACTGCCTATTCACGCCGTAATTCTTTCTGTCTCCCTCCCTCTCTCTCTCTCTCTCTTTCTCTCTCTCCCCCTCCTCGTTTTCTCCTCCCTCCCTCCCCTCTCTCCCTGCTGCCCTGCCTAGCTCGCTGGCTTTCTCTCTTGCTTCTCTCTTTTCCTCCCGACCTTTTTGGTTTGACAATTTTGTCTTAAGTGTTTCTCAAAAGAGGTTACTTTAGTTAGCATGCGCGCTGTGGGCAATTGTTAAAAGTGTTCTTAGGTTTACTGTGAAGAGAATGTATCCTGTATCCGTGAATTGCTTTATTGGGGGGAGGGAGGGCTAATTATATATTTTGTTGTTCCTCTATACTTTGTTCTGTTGTCTGCGCCTGAAAAGGGCGGAAGAGTTACAATAAAGTTTACAAGCGAGAACCCGAGACTGGCCGGGCCCGCGCTCCTCATTTGCTCCCGGCGCCTTGCAGAGCCAGGGGAAGCCGGTCACCGGCCTCCTCCGCCCGCCAGGCCAGGCCGTGCGGAGGAGGGGGCGGGGGCTGGAGGCAGGTGGTGCGAGTCCCTTGGCTCAGGGGCGCGAGGGGTGAGGGAGGCGGCTGCGCGTGATTGGAGGAGAGAGGAGCCAGGGAGGGGAGCCAAGAGGAACCCCCACCCTTCGCGTTCCGAGGCTGCGTGGCCCTGGAGACCCCGAGACCTGGCCACGCTGGAGAGATGCGCGCTCGGACTGGTCGCTACATCCTCACCACCTTCCTCTTTTGTTTCTATGTGCCCTCTCCCGTGTGTGTGTGAGTGTGTGTGTGTGTGTGTGCGCGCGCGCGCGCGCGTGTGTGGTGGGGTGGGGAGGAAGGTGGCGTGCAGGGCTGCTAAACCAAACATATATATATATATATTTCTTAATTTCCCCCCGGACTCTGGTGGGGGAGCAGGAGAGGTGCGCTGCTCTTCCCCACCTCTTCCTCGCTGGGACTGGCCACCAGGCCCGGATCCCCGGCGAGAGGCTCGCCGCCTTCCTTCCTCCGCTGGCTTTGCCTCTCCACCGAGGCATCCGCCTCCCGGAACCAGAAGAGCCGCGCACCGCGCCGCCCTCCTCTTCCTTTCTCTTCCCATCCACCCCCACCCGTTCCGGGGTTTTTTGTTTGTTTGTTTTGTTTAATTTTTAAGCCTTTTAAGCCACCAGAAAGCGCAGCATTCAACGCCCGTGAGCTGGGTCCTGCGCCTCTAGGACACCCACGAAGCCTGGCTGCTTCCCACCCGTGTGTCTGGGCACCGAGAGCCAGGCTCTCCTCGTTCCTCACCTGAGAGACCCCCGCTGAGTTCCCCCAAAGGCCCAGCCAAGCCGGACTGGCCCTGATTGATAAAGATCTGACCCGCACGCACCCACCCGCCCCAGTGCTGCAGCCCCTGAGTTTGTTTCTCGCTGGGTAACGGGCGGAGAAGGAGAGGTGGGGCGCGACAACGCGGGTCGCTCGGAGGCTGTTTATTTTCTTTTCCGCTCAAACCCTTCCTCTCCAAATCTCGCCTGCAAGCTGCCTCCAGCCCACGGGGGTGGACAGCGGCCCTTGAGCCCCCGGCCCCAATCCACAGGGCTTGGCTTCCCCATTCATTATTGATCATATTTTATAAATCCAACGCCACACAATTTTTTCCACATTACCGGAGCCGTGGGGAGGCCGCCCATCTATTGGTGGAGGGGAAGTCACGTGGGAGGGGGTCACGTGGCCCAAAGAGGAAAAAGGGGGTCCTTTTTGGTGTAAATCTGGACTCTAATTCTGTAATATATCAAGGAATCTCGTAAAACCGACACTAAAACGTCCCTGCCTACAAATCATCCGGCCAAATTATGAGTTCATTGTATTATGCGAATGCTTTATTTTCTAAATATCCAGCCGCAAGTTCGGTTTTCGCCACCGGAGCCTTCCCCGAACAAACTTCTTGTGCGTTTGCTTCCAACGCCCCGCGCCCGGGCTATGGAGCGGGGTCGGGCGCCTCCTTCGCGGCCTCGATGCAGGGCTTGTACCCCGGCGGGGGGGGCATGGCGGGCCAGAGCGCGGCCGGCGTCTACGCGGCCGGCTACGGGCTCGAGCCGAGTTCCTTCAACATGCACTGCGCGCCCTTTGAGCAGAACCTCTCCGGGGTGTGTCCCGGCGACCCCGCCAAGGCGGCGGGCGCCAAGGAGCAGAGGGACTCGGACTTGGCGGCCGAGAGTAACTTCCGGATCTACCCCTGGATGCGAAGCTCAGGTAACGCCGCGCACCGAGCCGTCCCGAGCCGCAGCGGCCCGGGGAAACTCCCCGGAGGGCGCCCCCGCTCCTGCCGGCTGCCCCGTTCCACGTCCGCAGTGCGCCCGGCAGGAGGTGGGCCCCGGGGACGCGGCACCCCCTGGACCGCGACCTGGCCCTCGGCCTCCACCCCCCTTTTTGCTCGGTGCTCTTTGGCTCGCTCTGCTTCCCGGCGGATCCCTCTCTGCCGACGCCGCGGCGCTCCGAGCCCCCAGCTCACCCCCCACTCTTCCTCCCGGCCTTTTAGCTTTAAATATTTATCAGCCAGGCCGGCACGGGCTGGAGACGAGGCCGTTTGTCTTGCGGAGGAAGGCTGGGGTTTGCAGAGAATAGCCATTAAGGTCCTCCCCCTCCCCTCTCCCTTACCCCGCTGGGGATCTCGGCTCTGGGTGTGTCCCCCAGTCCCAGCTTTGATAAGGTCTAGGGGAGGGGGCTGCAGCACTGAGCAATTCTTCCCTCCCCTTCCTTCCCAGCCAACCCTGCTCCCCCATTATTCCCTTCTGGACAATTAGAGGTGGGCTCTAGAGACCTGGCAGGGGGAGGGGGCAGGAGAGATTAGGATTCAGTCTGGGACACAGAGGCAGTGAGGCAGGTGGAAAGAGAGGCGCGCTGAGGCCAAGAGAGATGAGGCTCCTGACCCCCCAGTGAACTTGGGAAGAGCGTGGCAGGAAAACTAGAGAAAAGGGCAGAGGCCGCATGGAAACACAGCTGGCTTCCTCGGGTGCCCTTCCTAGGGCTCCTAAGCACCCTGAGGAACTGGCCAACAAGTTCCAGAAGAGTGAATTATTCCTTCTGGAATAATTCACTGTCCCCTTCGGGGAGGCACTAGGACTTTATGGAGCCAAATCGAGTTAGAAAGTATAGCCCACTGAATTGGTTGCTGCAGGAACCCCAAGAGACCAGGTGTCCACGAGGTTTCCTGACACACCTTCCCACAGACAGCCGTCTCAATGCCGCCCTAGACTCAGGGCCAACCCCCAGGTTCAGAAGGTCCAAGACTTGTGGTCAGAGGCCCCCAGTCCAGCCAGGGTTGAGGCCCAGCTTTTATACCACCAGTATTGGTGGTCACAGTCTCCATTACCTGCTCTGTAATTCAGCTGCCTTTCCAGTTGATTTATCAAAGCCCAAATTTCTCTGCTCATAAACATTTCAACTTGGCTTTTATCTGACTTGAAATTAGGGCCCCCAGTCCCTCCTCCCACAGGCTACTTCCCTCGAGGGCTTTTCCAGTAAACTGCCCCCCAAGCCTCCTCAAGGTTTGGGGCCTAACCTGGGAAGCTTTCATCTGCCCCTCAGCCCCTGCCACCTGGATACTTCCTGTTCCGCCCCACCCCAGGCTGCGGTCTGTACTCTCCTCCTGCGCCTTCCTGGAGGCCCAGGGGTTGCTCTGGAGAGCTCGGCTGTCTGGGCAGGTGGGCAGGTGGGAGCTCGTGGCCCTGTCAAAGCCTCAGCCACTCACTGGGAAATAGGCATCAGAGGGCAGCTGCTCTCAGACAGATGCCATGCTCCAAGGAAACCTGCAAATTCTCACCAACTCCTCATTCCACAACAGGCTGGGGGGAGGGAAGGAGGGGAAGGACGGGACTTGTGAGGGTCCTTTGTCTCCTTTGGGGGGGGGGATTTGGGAGGATAAAGGACTCAGGCCAGACCTAGAGCCTTACTTCAGGGTCATTTGCATGGTTCCTATTGTCCCTACCTCAAAGACCGTCAGAGCCAGCGTCCGAGAGGGGAGGCTTGGGGTCCCTGGTCCTGAGGGTCACCAAAAGATGAAGGTCCCTGCATTCCACATACACCCCTTAGGTGCTGGTCCTTTAACAGCCAGCAGTTTAGATGTTGGGTTCCGAAGCTCTAGGATGGAAGACTTCTTGGCTGGAAAATGGCAATAGTTGCCTCTGGAAGCCTGTAAAACTGTGCCATGAGGAAGGAAGAGGACGGGCACAGGCCGGGACATGGAAAGTGAAAATGTGGTGTAGTGGGAACATGGACCCTTCCAACTTCTGACTTCAAATCACACACAGGGCCTTAGAGAGAGATGGGAACTCCCATGGCTTTTTTCCCCACGCACTGATTGTTTTTTTTTTTTCCCCCTCTAAACACTGGGCCCAGGGACCGACCGCAAGCGAGGCCGCCAGACCTACACGCGGTACCAGACCCTGGAGCTGGAGAAGGAGTTTCACTACAACCGCTACCTGACGCGGCGGCGGCGCATCGAGATCGCGCACGCCCTGTGCCTGACCGAGCGCCAGATCAAGATCTGGTTCCAGAACCGCCGCATGAAGTGGAAAAAGGAGAACAAGACCGCAGGCTCCGGCGCCACGGAGCAGGACAAGGCAGAGGCGGAGGAGGACGAGGAAGAGTGAGGGATGGAGAAAGGGCAGAAGAAGCAAGAGACGAGGAAGGAGAGGAGGAGGAGGAAGCCCAACTCTGGGAGCGGAACCAGGAACTCAAATCAAATAGGGGGAAAACCCTATCTAAGTGGAAAGCAGTTCATTTTTTTTTTTTTTGTAAGGAGAGCAAGTGAAATTTTGCTTTCTTAACACTGAAAAAAATAACTACCTATAGAAAAGTCTTGCCGGGGTTTTGTTTTGTACAATATGGGAGGGACGTCCTCTACCTGTTCTCTAGCTTTCTGGAATTTGCCTCCCCTTTTCTATGTCGCTATTGTCAGGTCTTTGTAAAATTTTGCTGTTTTGTAAGCCCCCTTCTTTGATGCTGTCTCTTGTGGTCTGTGGGTCTGGACTGACGTGTGCTGTTCCCTTGCCCTCCTGAGCCCCCCCCCCGCCCCCCGAGTCCCAGTGGCCGAGCTGAAGGGGCCCTCGGGAGCCCGGAAGACCCACTAACTCCATTGTCCTCTCCACGCACCTGCCCTGCCCGATGCTCTCGCTCCGCCTGTCCCCTGTTCTCCTCTTTACATTCTATGTGTATCTGAAAAATGCAGAAATAAAACACAATTAAAAACCAAACAAACCGATGCTCTGTTTTCTGGGGAAGGGTGAGGGTCCGCCGGGCATCCCAGGCCCCGGGTCCCAGCCTCTGCGGCCGGCCCGCTTCTGCACTGGGGTCTGCTCTCATTCGCGGAGGTCCTGCTCTGGGGGTGCCAGCCAGGGAACCCTGGCGTCACGCACCTTCCCTGTCCTTTTTCTACACACAGTGACACACGTAGATGCACAAGCACACATGTTGACAGGCTGGTGTCACACGTAAACACACACATGGTCACCTACAGTCACGAAGAAACACTCGTGTTCATATACTCACAAGTCCACACCCAGGCATTCACTCACCCCAGCTCCAGATCCAGACACACGCATCCACGTTCACGCACACTCACAAGTTACACATTCACACTCACTCACAGACACGTTTATACGTAGCCACCTACGTTCACACACTGGTTTATAAGCACACAGATTCACATTTGCCACCCCCAAGTAAACACGTCGATGAGCCCACACGTTCAACCGCACGCATTCACAGAACAGAACAAAAAGTAAATGCTTCCAGTTCCACAAACTTTCTCCCCGAGGCCTTCAAGCCCGACCAGGGCCGAGGCCGTGCCGCCAGGGCACAGACGGCCGAAATGCAAAGCGCTGGGCCTCAGACCCAGGACCAGCGGGAGGAAAGGGAAGGTGACCACCCAAATCCACTCCGAATCTCGGGCGCGTCGGGCCGCTGCCGGGCGGCAGCAGAGACCCGGAGAGGCCTCCAACGCCAGGGCGCTGCCGGCGCCCCGCGCGCTTGGCAAATATTTTCCGCAAGAGCTATTCGGTTATTTTATTTCCATTTATTTTAAGTTTCATTTATTTTAATATATATTCTAATTGAACACGGTGACCCAAACAAAACTTTAAAATGGTGGGAGGCGACAACCAAGCCGCGAGAACGCGGACCCGAGCGCTGCGAGTTTACCCGCTCGTGTGGCCGCGTCCAGCGCTGGGAGCCCGCCGCGCCGCCCGCCCGGCTCCGCCGGCTTCCTGCGCGCCCTCCGCCCCGTTCTCGGCGCTGCCAGCCACCTGGAATCTTCTCCGGAGCACAGAGAAAGAGAGAGAAAAAGAAAAACATTTTGGGAGAAGTTATTTCGTTTCTAAATGTGGGCGTTAATAGCTCAATTCAAAATACCGGAGTATTTCAGGAGGGCTGGGAAAGACGAGGTGAATTTTGGTGTTCTTGGGGTTGCTTTTGCCCCCCCAAACACCCCCTGATTGGGGGACAAAACCCCGGAGGTTGGAGTCTATGCAGCTAGACCTGCAGATCTGATTTTTAGTATTTATTCCATGATAAGCCCTAGATGACTTAAATTTAAAGAACAGTATTCGGACGGACTGGAGAAAGAGGAGCGGGAGAGAAGCACGTTTTAGAATAGGTTCGACTTGAATTTGTAAGCACAAGTCCCCTAAACCCGCAGTTTCCCCTGTTAATGGCCGCAGAACAGCCGGAGAGCACAGGGAGCTGTCGCGGGGACCCGAGCAGGCGGGCATTTGGGTGGCGGAGGCCGGAATTCCGCTTTAGCCTCCTCCAGTTTCTGGGGTGCGGAGGCGAGAATCCAGTTGCTACATTGTCTGTCTTGGCCTCCATCAGGGCCTCCTTACCTCCTTGGCGGGGCGGGAACTAAGCCCTAGGGAACCTACAGCCCCCACACCCGCAAAGCCGCAGCTTCACAGGTGGGGGTCCAGCCATCAATAGGGCTACGAATGAGAGGGGAGTTCAGAGGAGTAGGGGGGCACGTAAGCTTTCCTTTTGCCTTGATGCAAGTGGCAACTCCGAACAGCAGCCACTGCCCCAGACTCGCCCCAAAATTGCCTTAGAACAGACTCTGCATGGGGTATTGGGGGTAATTTTTACTAGAAGGGGGGCAGAGCCCCTGTGAGAATTGGGGAGGTTCCTAAAAGAACCCCTTTTCCAAGCTGGACCCTTGTGGCTCTTCAACCTGATGGCCTGCGCCCCAAATCTCACTCCTTTTCAGACTGGGGTTTTCCCAAAAAGCGAGAAGGAGAAGAAAAGAAGATGGCGACTGAGAAAAGGGTTGCTGGTGGAGCAGCCATGAAGAAATGCAATAAATTCCTTGTTGTTTTATGAAAATTTACAACTTTGTGATAGAAGTTTATGAGTGGTTGAATCCAGCGATTGGCCGGCGCCGGTCATGTGGCCGGGCGATCGTGAACATGAACTTTTTATCATTTCCCTGGTGGTTATAATGCAGCATTCTTTTGGACACCACACCTAGGTCGGAGCACTGTCGTCCTTCAGGGCTCCAGCCTCTTGATATTTTTATACTTCAGTATCAGTTTGATAAAGCAAAAGAGAGAGAGAGGAAGAGAGAAGGGGAGAAGAAAGAAGAGGGGGGGCAGGAGGGGTGGGAATTACACAAAAGAGAGAACCAAAAATAATTTAAATTCCTAAGTTAATTTCTTTGCTGATCTGGGATTTTAGTCATCATGGAGGGCAAATGGACAATCTGCCCAGGACTGCAGCCTGTTATCATTTTTCAAAGCCAGAACTTACTTCATTTTCTATGCAAATATCAGAAAAGCGAAACACCCTCTCTCCCAAGTCAGAGAAGGGGAAGCGACGGCTCTCAGGTTGGGACAATATTATCTGGAAGATGAAGCAGAAACCGAACGCTCTTTTTTCCCCCCCTCCTTCCTCCCCACCCCTTTCAATCGGAGGAAAGAAACCTCGAGGTCTGCAAAGGTAAGGGAAATTCTACAATTCTCTCATTATGATTTTGCCTCGAATTTTGTAGGTGGGGCTTCGGTTTGTCTCCCCCCTCCCCTGTCCAAGACAGGGCTGAACCCCACCTCTGGGTGCTACAGGGAGAGGCTTCCCAGGAAATTCGGTGGCAGAGAGAGGGGTGGCCGCTTCCTGGAGGGGGGAGCCGAGGCAGAGAAAATGGGAGGAGGAACCGAAAGAGGCCACGGACGGAAAGAGGCCACAGTCGCCTGTAAGCTGGGAGGAGAGGCTCAAGCGAGGGGGTCGCCAAAGAGAGGATGGGGGTGTCTGAGCTCCAGGGCACCCGCAGAAGCCAGTTGCTACGGCCTCTGTGGATTTGTGCCCCACCCCCTCCCACCGTGCCTCCCTCCCTCCCTCGTTTCCGCCTCCCCCAATTGCCCTCCGTGTTGTTCTCTTGCCCGGTTCAGGTATCGGCAGTTTCCCGGCAGCATTGGCATAAGGGGCGGTGGCCTGGGGGACGTCTTGGTCTCTGGAGGGCCTGGAATCTCCAAAGAGGCCAGCGAGGGCTAGGAGGCGGCTAGAGAGAGACAGAAAGAACAATTTACAGAGAAATGCTCGTTTACCTCCCCGCGGAGACATTTCTGAAATTAAAGGGCTGTGAGTGGAGGCACCCAAATCGAGGGACACCCCCAGGAAGCCTGCCCGACAATGCCCAGGTCTCTCGCCACTCCCACAGGACGGAGCCTCGCTCTGCAGGGAGACAGTTTTGTGGTTTTTAATGCGGTAGGTCACAGTGTGTTGCTTTCTGTGCAATATTGATTCTACCACAGTACTTGTGTTTTATTGGTGTGTGTGGGGGGTGGGTTTCCGTGGAGGAGAAAATTGCCATGTGTGTGTCTGATGGTCGAACATTTCGAACTTTCCTGGATCCAAACCTGATGATTGTGAAGAAGCTGTTTAGTGTGTTGTTGTTGTTGTTTTAGGCTTGTAAACAAATACAAAAAAAAGAGAGAGAGAAGAAAATGAAAAGAAAACCCAATCAGGGGACCTAATGGTGTCAGGACTAGCAAGCTGCCTGGCGCTGAGCTTGGAAAACTAGCCCTGTACACTCTCCGGCGCCTGATTTCGTTCCCCAGGCGGGCCTCCTTGGGGTGGGGGTGGGGCGGGGAACGTCTGGGCCAGAGACGCAGATTCCTAAAGTAGCTGGTGGGCTGGAAGAAGGCGCAGCCTCTAGGTGGGGACTTAAAAATAGAGTGAGAGGGCTTCTGAGGAAGCTGCAAACCATGAGATCAGCGACTTCGGGCGCGGAGGGTAGGAGAGACTGATTTAGTTCGGTTCGCACAACTAGGTGATTGCTTTTCTCTTCTTAAAAAGACCAGACCCGGAGCGTTTAGCCTCAGGCCTCTGGTTGCCCAGGGACTGCAGGGTCTGGGGGCCGTGTAAGGGGATATTGGCCCTCTCAATTCTGAGCTGGGAAGAGAAGGACTCGGCCACTTGTGGCGCGGGAGGGGGCCCGTAGAGGCCCAAGTAGGCGCCCTCCCAGCAGGCCGGGACCGGGTGCCTGGAGGGACCCCTCGCTGCGCGTAGCCAGAGAAGTTCTCGGTCAGCACCCAGGGCAGTTGGAGCTCAATCTCAAAGGGAAAATTCCCCAAACCCACCCAGACTAAAGGTCTTTTTCTCCTGTAGCCTCGGCAGGGTATAAATCATCCCTTAGACAGTTTGCTGTGACCCAAATTATGCGGTTTGCTGCCATCTACCGTCCGTTTGGAGTCATGCGGTTTCGGCGCCGCGAGCCAGGCGACGCCGCCTGGATGGTGCCCGACGCCTGGAGCCCGGGGACGCTCCGGTTTGGCGGGATGCGTGGGACTTCGGGCCCAGAGGGTCGCTTTCCGCTGAACCTCGGCCCCCGCGCGCCCGTGCGTGGATTAGAGAACAAGTGTCCCCTCCTGCTCGCCCGCTCCGTCCTGGCTCCCAAGCGGGCGGCCGGCTGGGACGGCGGCTTTTCCCGGGGCGGGTTCGGAGCGGACTAGTGACTGCATCCCGCGGGCAGGGGGCCCCGGACGGGCGAGCCCGGGCCCCGCACCGCGAGCGCGAGAGGGGACCGCCCGGGCCGCTCGGGAGATCCGAGGCCGGGGCGGTTTGAGGTTTATTTGGTTTTCTTTTCGGCCAAGGGAGGGGCGGGTCGCGGAGGCGCCGGCCGGCCCGGCCGTTCAGCCCGGTTGTCAAAAGACAACCGAATCGGTGATCTCCCGGTTCGCCGGCGGTCCCGCCGGGGCCTCGGCGGGAGGGCCCGTGGCGACGGCACCGGGCCGATTTCCTGGAAGCTGTCGGTGTCTGAGGGTGGCCGTGGGCTCTCCCTTGTTCTCGATCGTTTCGGGCGAAATGGACACGTTTGCTTCGGGGGAAAAACCGGGAGTGGGAGCGAAGGGCGCTCACCGAGGAGTCGAACCGCTGCGGTTTCCGTCCCGGCCGCACCCCTCGCACCCGCGCCGCCGGGCCGCCTTCCCAGGGGGGGTGGCGAGGGCGGGGGTCCGCGCCTCCGCCGCCGCCGCGTTTGAATATTGGCCCCGGTCTCACGGGTTACTGATTAGCTCGGGCTTTCAAGCCGCTGGAGGAAGCTCTGGCCATTCCTTTCAAGGTGCCGTGGCCCCGGCTCCTGGGCGGGGGCTCCAGGAAATTGCCTACGGTGCCAGGCAGGCCGAGGTGTTACTGGGGTCTGGCCTGGAGCTGGAAGGGCTGCGGAGGTCGTGCGGCCCCGCGGAGCTGAGGGCAAACACCAGGGCCTCCGCCCCCCCCCCCCCCCCCCCCGACCCGCGCGCCTTTGGCGCCTCAGGACTCTGAGCCCGGGCCGCAGGGACAAGCCTTTCAGCTGCTCCGCAGCGAGAGTGACTTTCCTGCGGTTAGAAGGCCGGGCCTGCGCCGAAGGCCCCGAGGGAGCGCGTCCCGAAAGTATTGGGCCCCTCGAGGGTTTTTCTTGCGGGCAATCCAAAGGACAGGCAGGGAGGAGAAGGCGGTTAGTACCGAGGGTTAAAACACTTCAGGGCTCTTAGGGTGCTGGCGGCCCTGGGGGGAGGGAACTGGGGCAGCCAGCTGAGTGCCCAGGCCTTCCCCACCTCCAGGTCCGAGACCACCGAGCTCGGGACCGGCCCATTTTAAGGCCCTGTCCCGTGTAAGCAGCTCCCAAAGATTCGGGGCCACCACATGACTCCCTCTGGGAACATTTATGTTTCCCAAACCTAGAGAATCAGAACTGGGTAGAGACATCTTCATTTGCCACACCCCAGCCAGAGTGGGAAGTGGGGCGGGGGAAGGCACCCACAATCCAAAGGGCTGGGGTGGGTGGGGGGAGCTTCGTAGCGGAGAGGAAAGAGGAAGCCTGGACAATGTCTCAGCCTCCCCTCCCCTCTGCACGCACACAGGCGCACAGCTCTCCCGGAGGTGGGTGGCGGAGGAAAATTCCCCTCCTACCTGAGCACAACTGAGACATTTCCCCAGGAGCTGGAACGTGTGTCCGTCCACGGGGCTGCAGATTCCCAGCACAGAAAACTACAATTACAAATCCTGCCTGTTGGGTTTCTGTACAATCCTTGTGTTGTGCACTCAAGACTCGGTCCACGTTGCTATCCACCTCTCCATACACGTGCTTCCGCGTGGAGGCAGGGAGGGGCACCCTAGAGGGGAGACGGCTGTGCCTGCTGTGTATTTACATATTCCCCCTTGGAGACAGACAGACAGACGCGGCAGTGGACGGAACCACAGACAGATTCGTAGAGATCTGGCTCCAGAAACCAGGCGGCCTCTGGCCCAGCTCTGCCTGCCTGCTCTTTCTCCCAAACAAACGGATCAGAGGAATAAACGCTCATAAATACCTCTGGGCTTAGATAAGAGCGATGAGGCGCTATTTCCTTTCATGCTGGACTACAGGCGCCCAGGCCCTGCCTTTGCGGCTCCATCTCGAGACCACAGGCAACCTGCAGAGGTGAGGTTAATTTGGGGCTGTGACTCGAAGGATAAGGTGATTATTTGCCTGCTTCTATCACAGGGGAATCTTACTTTGTGCAGACTCCACAGGGGAGCCCACACAGTCCCCGGATGGAGGCACTGAGGCCGGGGAGGGGCAGGGAGGTCTGAAGCCCAAGGCCCAGCCTCAGTGGCAGGGAGCGGGGAGGCACACACAGGCGCTGCCCCACCCTGCTCACCTTGCCCAAACACTCCTCACGCTCCTGTGGGAATGGGCCCAATCACAGCTAGATTTGGAGCACTTATGATTCCCCATGATTAGGAGGCTTGAGTTCACTTTTCTTAAATCTTGATGAAACAACTATAGGGTCTGGCTAGGAAGGGATCTCCCCTTGGCCAGGAAGGTGCAGCCCAGACATTACCCTGAGTTCAGGAAGCCTTGTAGGCCACTGTGCAACCAACCAAGTTCCCAGCCTTAGTCACCAGCCCCAGCCCCTACCACTTTCCCGTGCGTCTTTTACCATCTGTAGTGGACAGAGCTGGCCCACAAAAAGCAGCCCAATGGGCAAGGCAGAGAGGAGGCTCAGCCTGTCCCCTTCATCAAATTTACCCCCACACCCAGGCCCATTCCCAGCTCAGGTCTCAGGGTTGTCACTCTTTGCCCTCTGGCCTCCACACGCCCAAAGAATGTCGGGAACACATCGCGGCTTAGTCTTCCAACCTGGCTTCAGCGTTCATTTTCTTTAGATGAGAGAGCCGGAGACGCACACTGTCTCACACTCAAGCTTGTGAGGCAGCAAAGCTGGTGATACAAGAAAGGGGTGGGGGTGGGAGGGGACTGTCCAGATGCTGAGAGACACAGAGTGGTGAGCATCTGGAGAGGAGATTCGGGCTGATCATTGTGAGCTGCCTGCTGAGTCCCCAGGAGGACCCCAACACCCCTCCCTCATAAAACTAAACCCAAATCGAGTCTCAGGAAATAATGAATTAAAAAAAAAAAAACCACGCCAGCTTCTGGAGAGACTTAGAAAAGGTGTGAAGTCCCTTCTCTTCCTGCTGTTTCTGATCACCTCACGTTTCAGGACCCCAAATTGAAGGAAGGCCAATTTCTTTCCTGTACCCACTTACTGAGACAACCTTAATTCCTAAGAATCTGTAGCTCAGGATATTCTTCTGTCCTTGTGGGTAGGAAGTGAGGGTGAAGGTTTCAGGCAGGACAGGGACCAGACACACCTAGGCCAGGGGAATACCCCTCACGCCTTCTGTCCTTGTCCCCAAGTGAGGAGAGGGGTGGTCCCTTTTCCTAGTGCCCCTCCCCGTGCCCAGAGCAAGCGGTGCGCACTAGAACCAGGTCACGAGAACCAGGTGAGAGGTCTCGGGCAGCAGCATCCATGGCCACCCAGCAGCTCCCAGCCTAGCTGCAGAGCCGGAGGAAGAAGCGTGGGCTCAGGCACTCCTCCTCCCAGCCTCCCATGTCCTCTGGGCAGCAGGCTGTGGCCTTAGTCTCAGGCCACGAGAGTCGTGGAGAAGCAGGAATAATAATCCGGGACTTGGAGGTGGCTGAGGAGACCTAAGAAATGGGGGGAAATGGTTTTCCAAACCTGGGAAGGAAGCAGTTTCTCCTTCGCCTCTCTCCTTCCTCCGAAAATAGTGCTAGTTAGCAGAGAACTCGTCTCCGCTTCAGCCAACACAAAACCCTAGAAATAATCCTTCTCCTTTGGTTCTCCCCTAAGATTCAAGAGATTCAGGGATGGTTGCCCACCCTTCCTTTCAGGGAATGGGGCTCAAGCAACGCAGGGGTTAACTTTTCTGAAAACACAATTAACTTTTTCCTATCCTGCGTGGAAAAGGAGGGATATATTTATTTAATCACTGGGGGGATGGGGTGGTGTCGATTCAAAGCTCCCTCCTCCCTCCAAGGCACAGACGCCTTTTTCGCAGATCCTACGTAGGTGGAACAGGACGGGTCGTGTTGTTGGTTGGGGGGGGGGAGGAAGAGAAAGGAGAAGAAGGAGGGGGAAAAAAGGTTGATAGGTTTGTGCGCGGGTCCCTCGTGCGGGCTGCGCTCCTCCTGGGTGCTATTTGACAATTCCTGCCTCTGCCATTGGTCAGTGTTGGATCAGATGGTTGTATTTCCTTCTGGCCCTCACTGGCACCTCGCCATCCCCCCTCAGCTAAAACCCAATCTCAGATATACTACTAATAGGCGCGGCGCTCGGACTATAAAACACAACAAATCATAAACCCGGCGGAGCAGCAGCGGCCGTGCGCGCCTCCCTCCCAATGAGTTCCTATTTCGTGAACTCCACCTTCCCCGTCACTCTGGCCAGCGGGCAGGAGTCCTTCCTGGGCCAGCTACCGCTCTACTCCTCCGGCTATGCGGACCCGCTGAGACACTACCCCGCGCCCTATGGGCCCGGGCCCGGACAGGACAAGGGCTTTGCCGCCTCCTCCTATTACCCGCCAGCGGGCGGCGGCTACGGCCGAGCGGCGCCCTGCGACTACGGCCCGGCACCGGCCTTCTACCGCGAGAAGGAGTCGGCCTGCGCGCTCTCGGGCGCCGACGAGCCGCCCCCCTTCCACCCCGAGCCACGGAAGTCCGACTGTGCGCAGGAAAAGAGCGTGTTTGGCGAGCCGGAGGAGCAGAAGTGCTCCACGCCCGTCTACCCGTGGATGCAGCGGATGAATTCATGCAACAGTGAGTGAGACTCCGTCGTTGCCGAGAACCTTGCGGGCACCCGCCCCGGGAGACAGAACTACTGAGCCCCCCATTCTCTCGCTGGGTACGGGCCGGGCATCTTAGATTAGGATCCCAGGGGAGATGGGGCGCCTGCACAGGGTTGGCTGCTCTGTCCTTTTGCCCTCAGGAGTTACAAAGTTTGCAAAGTCCCAGCCACACTCTGAGCCAGGCAAGCGAGTGGGCTGGCTGGAGCGCCAAGCCAGATCCGGGATTTCGGGTCAGGGGTCGCAGCCAAGGGCTGGGCTTTCCCTTGAGCCCCTATCCTGGTCGTGTCCCCCCCCACCCACCCCCAAGACTGTTCCACTAAAAACCGAGTGCGTCACAGGAAGGGGGGCGGCGTGACGCTGGCAAGGGAGAGTGGAGTCTCTGCCCCCCGGACTGTGTTTCCCTGGGGGTCGGGGGCTGGGGAAAGATGTGGCACCAGAAAAGGGGTCGTAGTCATAAGAGGGAGGGAGGATAAGAAGGAGGAAGAGGGGGGAGCGGGCGGAGGGGGAGAGCCGGAGAACCAGGCGCCTGGGTCTCAGGTTGGATTATTTGTCGGCCTTAAGTCCCAAATTGATGTCCATTAGCGGGACACGAGAGGGAGAGCCGTTAATGCCGACTGTGGATCGATCCACGTCATTACGGATTAAGGGCTGGAATCTATCACTCGGTGGTGGGGGAGCCACATGTATTGGGGGGAAATTGCAGCTAGGAAGAGACACACCTGGTCGGTACTTCCCCAGCCCCTCCCCCTAGGCTCAGGTGGGATTTTACACTGCTCCTCCCATCCCCCCACCGAGAGTCCAGACTGGAGGCGCAGGCCGAGGAGGCCCGGAGGGAATCTGGAGGGGGCGCTGCAGGGAACAAGAAAGTAGAGGCTGGAGTCCATGTTTGAGGGTCGAGTGAGGAAGGGGGCTCTGACCCTGGTGACCCCAGGCTTCAGCATCTCCTCTCTGCGTAACAGGTTCCTCCTTTGGGCCCAGCGGCCGACGCGGCCGCCAGACCTACACGCGGTACCAGACCCTGGAGCTGGAGAAGGAGTTTCACTACAACCGCTACCTGACGCGGCGGCGGCGCATCGAGATCGCGCACGCCCTGTGCCTGACCGAGCGCCAGATCAAGATCTGGTTCCAGAACCGCCGCATGAAGTGGAAAAAGGAGAGCAAACTGCTCAGCGCATCTCAGCTCAGTGCAGAGGAGGAGGAAGAAAAACCAGCGGAGTGAAGGCGCTGGAAAGGGAGGGGGGGACGCGAAGGGAGAGAGGCCCGTGGGGAGCCGAGGGCCTCGAGGAGCTGGGGGAGGCTCTGCGGGCGGGCGGGGGAGCCCGGGGGCCGCTCTTCCGCGCCAGACAGGCGGGGCCCGGCGCTCTCCTGAACGCCCCCAGACGCAGAGCTCTGGAGGGGCGCCGGAAGGCCGCGCTGCCCGAGGCCACCGGCACTCCTCGCGCCCCCTCCGTCCCCGCGGAACCCGCCTCGGCCGGGTCAGGCTCCCCCGCGTGAGAACTAAGGACTGGACTCACTTGATGTTTCCTGGAAGCAGAGCAAAACACTCTTGTCCGTGTCGCGTCTCATTTCGTCCATGTCCCCCGTGCACGGTTCAATGGTAGCTTCATAGTCCCCTCAGCGGGGGCCTCAAAGACTCCCTGACCCCAGACCTCTCTCCCACCCCCTCCTGAAAGCCACTGGAAGGAGCACATACTACCTAGAAGTAAGAAGAGGAGCCTGAGAAGAAAACAAAGTTCTATTTTATTAATTTTCTATGTGTTGTGTTTGTAGTCTTCTTGTCTTAGCTCTGGACGTGAAATACTTCGGTAATAATATTAATATTATTAATGATGATGATGATGATGATAATAAAGATGTAAAAACTCGCCGCGCTGTCACCTCTGCTCCTCCCTACCACTCCCCGCCCCCGGCACCACCCCGCGGTCTCTGCGCCGGAAACTCCGCAGCGCAGCCTGCAGCCGGCGGGCCCCAGCCGGCACGACTTGACCTCGGAAGTTACAGGCGAGATAAAGGCTGGCGCGGTCCCTCCTGGTCTCGAGAGCTGCGCCTCGGCGGTGCTGAGGCTCTGAACGGCTTCGCTAGGCTCAGACTTGGGGGGCGGAGAAGGGCCATTTCCCTCGTATTCTCTAGCTTTCGCTCGTTTGTCTGTGGCACGAGGGACACCACCGAGGCCCCCTAGCCCGAGCCCTGGCAGAGACTGGGCCGAGAGGGTCTGGCACCTGAGCAGCGCTTTTCGGTCTTCCTGCTTGTTGAGACCGTGGCTTTGGCCTGCCCACGCGGCCTGGTCTCTGCTGGCCTTGGCCCTCTGCTCCTGGCCTGTGGCTCCGGAGACCAAATCAGGGTCGCGGGGTATCTCTCCGCCCTCAGCTGAACGCTCCAGGCGCCTTTTCCTGCCTCAAGTAGGAGTTCAGCGACAAGTAGGGGAATGCGAGGCCATCAGCAGTCGCCGGCTGAAGGGCACGACTTTCTCCTTGGAGACCTGAGGGCAGGAGGCCAGGTTATAGGAGTTTGGTCTCCCCCCCCCTACCAAAAAACGATCCATTCTCTGCTACCCCCACCCTCGGCCGGCCGACAAGTTGCACGCCGTTTTCCTTTCTTCCTCCTTCTCTCTCTCTCTCCCCCTTTTTTATTTTTAAAGAAAATAGCTGTTCAGCAGAAGGGGCCCAGCTGCTGCGGTCTCTGGCCGCCCGGCGCGCTCAGCGTGGCACCGCCAGTCCTCGGAACCCCTTCCCAGGGAAGGTGTGGGCCGCCGGGCACACTCAGAAACCACCCAGGCGCCAGCGAGGGGTCTCGAGCGGGGCCTCCCGATGCAACATCAGGCATCTGGCAAGGCGGCTAAAGACTCCCGCCTTGGTCCCGTCCTTTCGCAATCACGTTTCCACCCAGACCCCAGACGCGATGCGGTCGCCGCCACCGTTTTCCCTACAACTAGGCCGCTTAGCACCAGCCAAGCTCCGCCTCTGGGGTCTCTGTCCTTCTCTGCTATTCCCCAGGCCGGGCTAAGGATAAGAAAGAGGTCAGGAAACAGATCCCAAACTTCTAAAGGACACAGGAGAAGCGGAAGTTTCTCCTTCGAACCCTCAGGCCGGCCCTGTCTCCTGGGCCTGAGCGCTGTGGAAGGGCCACCGCAGCCCCTTAGGAACCAGGAGAGGCCGAGGGGGTGGGGGGAGTGGTCGGAAACCTCCGTGTCAATCACCGTTTTGCACATGGATCTTCCAACCCTCTCCCCCATTTCCTACCCCAACTCGGATTTTTTGCAAAACGCGAGTAAGGGAAAAGCAACTCCATGATCCTCTTATCTAGAGTTTAAAATGATAAGGACGGGGAGAAGAGCAACACAAATAGAGAGAAGTCACTACATTCCCAAGAAAGTGAGGAGAGGCTCAACTGGGTCCCTCGTCCGAAGACTCAACCTTGCGGGTGACCCTAGGCCAGGTTTCTTTCTCTCCCGGCGTTTGCGGGGAGCCAGCAGGGAGGCAGCCTCCGCCGCCATGGCGGTCTGCGGCCCGCGCTCCCGCCGATTGCCGGGAGGTGGCGCGCTCTGCTCAGAGGCCGCCGCCAACCTTCTCCCCGTTTCTCCCCCTTCTTTTTCCCCCTCTCTCGGAGGCTCGCATTGAATCGGCCCTAACGATTCTCGGATCGTCATTATTTGTAACCATAGAGCATGAATTACCTCTTGAGGTCATCAGCGAGAATTTACGACTGGTCAACAAAAGCACGTGATTCCCTAACGCCCCCCCATCCCCCTTTCAACCCCCCCCCATATTTGGCCGCATACATAGCAAAACGAAGTACAGTGCATCGCTATAATTCATTAATACATCATAAATCGTGAAGCACAGGGTTATAACGACCACGATCCACAAATCAAGCCCTCCAAAATCACCCAAATGAGCTCGTACTTTGTAAACTCCTTCTCGGGGCGTTATCCAAATGGCCCGGACTATCAGTTGCTAAATTATGGCAGTGGCAGCTCTCTGAGCGGCTCTTACAGGGATCCCGCTGCCATGCACACCGGCTCTTACGGCTACAATTACAATGGGATGGACCTCAGCGTCAACCGCTCCTCGGCCTCCTCCAGCCACTTTGGGGCGGTGGGCGAGAGCTCGCGCGCCTTCCCCGCGCCCGCCCAGGAGCCCCGCTTCAGGCCAGCGGCGTCGAGCTGCTCCCTGTCTTCGCCTGAGTCCCTGCCCTGCACCAACGGCGACAGCCACGGCGCCAAGCCCTCTGCCTCGTCCCCCTCCGACCAGGCGACCCCGGCCAGCTCCAGCGCCAATTTCACCGAAATAGACGAGGCCAGCGCGTCCTCGGAGCCCGAGGAAGCGGCGAGCCAGCTAAACAGCCCGAGCCTAGCTCGGGCGCAGCCAGAGCCCATGGCCACCTCCACAGCCGCGCCCGAGGGGCAGGCTCCGCAGATATTCCCCTGGATGAGGAAGCTTCACATCAGCCATGGTAATTCTCGCTCTCTCCCTTTTTGTCTTCTCCGTGTTCCTTCTCTGCGTTGGGGGGTGGGGGGGTGGCGAGGAGAGCTTGGCTTTTCCTCGAATATAGATTTTTTTTTTTTCTAGAGGGACTCTAAGAGAGTCCTTACAGCTCAGGGGACAGAGCCAAAGAAGGTCTTTAGCTGCTGGGGGGGGGCGGTGTTGGGGAGTAGTATTTTAAATAATTTGTTCCCAGACTCGGCTTCGGTTTTACTCGCCCAGCTGTAATGGCTTTGGGCTGGAGGATAAGGTTTATGTAAGGTGGGGCAGGGTCTTGCTTACCCCCCAAATTTTGAGACCACCGCTAGCAAAGGAAGGGCGAGCAAAGGAAATTTCCAGGGCAAAAGTGCAGCCGCTCTCCTCCCCCCCGGGGGCCAGCGGCCGCCTGAGCCCAGCCGAGGGTGAGGCACAGGAGGGAGCCAGAGACAAAGCCGGGCGCTTCGCTGCCCGCGGAAGTGGGGGCTGCAGAAGAAGGGGGTGCAGAAAGGGAGCTAGGATGCGGGGCGTCTGGCGTGGGGAGGACTGGAGGGGCGGCGAGCCGGGGCCGGGGACGCCTGGGTCCCGCTCCACGCCCCCCTCCCGCCCAGTGCCCCCTCCCTTAACCGGAATAACCTTGCTTCGCGGCTCTGCTCTGTCTGCTCCAGATATGACCGGGCCGGACGGGAAAAGGGCCCGGACCGCCTACACGCGCTACCAGACCCTGGAGCTGGAGAAGGAGTTCCACTTCAACCGCTACCTGACGCGGCGGCGGCGCATCGAGATCGCCCACGCGCTCTGCCTGTCCGAGCGCCAGATCAAGATCTGGTTCCAGAACCGGCGCATGAAGTGGAAGAAAGATAACAAACTGAAAAGTATGAGCCTGGCTACAGCCGGCAGCGCCTTCCAGCCCTGAGCCCTCCGGGAGGAGCCCTGGGCGGCCCAACTGCCCTCGCCGCCCCCAGCCCCAGCCCCTTCGAGCCTCCCCGTGCTGCCGCCGCCCGCTGGGGACTGGTTCCCGCGAGCCTGCCTCGCCCCGGCCTTGTGTTACGGTTTTTCGTTTGGTCTTAGATCTTCCTGTGGCACTCTCTCTCCTGGACTGGTTAATCTTGTTATTATTGTTAATAATAATGATAATTATTATGTTCCCTCCACGCTCCTCGCTCCCCTCCGCTCACCCCAAATCCACGAGTGTTTCTGAATGTTCGTGTCTGTGGTTGCAGTCCTTCCTCCAGGAAGAAAAGAAACTCGCATGTTTAATGTGAACTTTCCCTTCCCCATCTTGTTCTCCTAACTTATTTATAAAAAGGGTGGTTGCTGTATTTTGAGTTTCAGCTCGAAACTTCTCTAAGGGGCAGCAGTTGAGGTGGGGCGGCGCCGCAGTGCCGGGGCCAGCTGAGCTGGCCTGGCGACGGAGTCCATGACTGTGCCTCTTTCCGCCCTCCTCCTCCTCCTCCCTCTCCACTCCCCAGGCCCAAGTCTCTTAGTGGCTTGGGCCTGGGGTGGGAAGGGGCCAGGGAGGACCAAGGGGGTGGTGTTGAGAAGAGGGAAAGTATATAGTGATATTTGAGTTCCTGCCGCCTAGGTAGGCCCCACCAGGCCTGGTCTGGGAGTGTACGGAAACAAACATAATCTTCAGTGTAAAATGTTGTGTGTATTTCTCTGTGAATCCATGGGTCTGGTGTAGAGGGCCCAAAGCTTGTAAATACGGGGACAGTCTGGGTCAGACCCATCTCCGTCCCCCTACCCATTTCGCTCCCAAAACATTTGTAGTGAGCGGGTGGACACTGTGCTAAGTGTGAAATCTGTCTCCGCCGGACCTGTCTCAGTGATTCGCTTTTGATATTTGTTTGTAGCTTTCCTTGAAGTCAAATAAATGTTTCCCCTACTCCATTGCCCTTCCATTTATCCTTTTTCTGGGGGGTGCCTGTCCCATCACTAGGCACACCCTAGACCATTCTTGGTAGATCTGGGGTGCAGGGAAGGGAAAACAGGATGCCCACCAGCAGCCCCTCTCAGCCACCTAAGTCCCTGGCTTGGTCAGCGGTGCTTGGGCCAGAGGACAGGCCTGCATGCCCTGGGGGGGGGTACTGAGAGGCCCAGAAACCTCACTATGGAGCTGGGGCCAGGAAAGGCCGAGCTGGACTTCACTCTGGGCTCCCACCAGCTGGTCAGCAAAGCCTCTGGAAACCTCTTCAAGGAAAGTAATTTGGGCCTAAGTCCTGAGCAGGAGGCTCCTGGTCAGCTGGGAATGGTGCAGACCTACCCAGCCCCTGTCCCCTGCTCCAAATCCCAACTCAGCTCCCCCACCCACTAAGGGGAAAAAAAAAAAGAAAGGAAGGAAGGAAGGAAGGAAGGAAGGAAGGAAGGAAGGAAGGAAGGGAAATCAGCTGGATTTCAAAGGTTTCTTCTCATCCTTAGTCTGCTCTGCACTCATCAAGAGCTCGCTCCCTCTCCACAGGCCTAACTAACCTTCCTTCTTGATTAGGAATTGAGCTCCCTCCTGGAAGTCCCCTGGTTCCCCTCCAGTCAGAGTGGCCCAGGGCCAGGGCCCAGTCCTACTCCAACCGAGTCAGCTTCCACCTTAAGCACAAGAGTCAAGTCTGGACACTTACCCGTTCATCCCTTCCAGCTTGGCCCAACTTCTTACAGGACTTGTGGGGGAGGGGGAGGCTGGTGAGGAGGCAGCCCAGGGTCTTGGAGGCTCTACTGGGCCCTCCTTCCCCCTCACCCCTTGACTTTGTCCCCCTTTGTCCATAGCAAACTATCCCAAAAGTCGCTATGACATTTAGATGTCAAATGGATAGGGGTTTTATCTCGAAGTTAGATCGTAAAAATCACCGAGAAGTCAGACAGATACCCCTCACTGGCTCGAGAAAGTCACGTGAGGTCCATAAAGTTAGTTTTATGGTTTTGGGGAGTTGACACCGCGCGGTATATTTCACATTCTCCAGAATGTGAAGTGACACTTTAACTGCTCGCTGTGGTGGGGACGGGGGCAGAGGTAGGTGAGGGCTCTCCCAGCCCAGAAGGCGGTGGCAGCGGCGGAGGCCCAGCGTTCCCGCAGTAAGTGGCTTCCAGCTTTCGCTTTTCCCCCTTGCAACCTGGGGCTTGGAACTGGGGAAGGAAATCATGCCTCCGGCAGGGCTGTGGGATTAGTGGGTGAAATTCGGTCTGCTTTTTGCGCCAAAATCTGACAAGCTGGGTATCTGCGTTGGGGGGCGGCTACTCAGTCCGATAAGGCCTCAGCGGTTGGGGCGCCTGGTTTTTATTTGCAATAGGCTCTGACTCTTCGTGGAGAAAAGGACTTGTGTGGGGTTCCTTCAGTGCCCTTGGATATTTAGGGCGTAAGAAGGAGGGGTGTTGTAGTGATGAAAGAAGCCCCCCCTTATGGGAGCCACTGCACTGCTGGATATCTTCAGAAAGACATATCCCACCCCCAGGAAAGAAACTTTAGGACATTCATCTGTCAGGGGTGTGTGTGGGGGCCGTGCCGCTGGGCACTTTTATCTGGATGCATCTGTACTGAGCAAAAGCACAGGGAAGGGTAACATAGCTGCTGTGGGCTACTTTGCGCTGAAACACTCTCTGGCTTTGAGATCTTTGAACCCCATGAAAGGGGTGCTTCTGATTCCCCATAACCGCATCAGGGTTGTCCTAGGTAGGGAGCAGAGCTCTTTTGCACCCCATTTCAGCCTGTTAGTCCCGAGCCAACCCTTCTGCTTGGTTCTAAGTAGGATACTGAGATCAGAGTGGGGAGTGGATGGGGGGTAAGTCCCCTCAAATCTAAAACCTAACTCCTGGCCAGCAGTGGGCAGAAGAAGGGCGCCTCTCCCCTTGCCTAGAGGAGTTAAATACTTAAGTAGGTCCCTGGAAACCCTTCCATGGATAAAACTTGCTCAAGAAAATAGACCCCAACTGTTGGGAGGGAGAAAAAAGGGGGAACTCGGGAGCTGGTAGAGAAAATTGGAAAGGTGCTTTCTTCCCTGTCCTCTGCCTTCCTCTCCTCCCTCTACTAGACCTTTAAAAGCCCCTTTGTTTTGAGACACCACAAATTGGAGGGATTTCATTATTTGACCTTCGGGGGCTTATTTTTTCCTTAAGGATGAGACACCCTTCCAAAAACCGGAAGCCTCTCCTCCACCAAATTGACCCCCAATTTTGAGACCTACGGGGTCAACCACCCTGTCACTCCCGCTTTTGACAGCCCACCACCTCTTGCTTCAGCTTACCAACTCCTGTGGGCAGTGCCTGAATTGGCATGTGACACCTTAAGGGGCTTCTGATCTTTGGGACAGGGAGAGGATCACATGGTTCCCGCCATTGCCTGTTACCGGACGTTCCCACTCTGTCCCTCTGTCCTCTCTCTTCTGCAGCTGCTTTCTGTTCCCTGAGCTCTTCAGCCCCTGCCCAGGCCTGACATACAGGAGGCCATTCACAGGCTTGGAGAGCAGAAGGGACAGAGAGCTTGGGGTCCTCACCCGGATTTGAAGACACATCTCCCCAAGAACAGTGGGGCATTTGTATACCTTGGGAAGGGTGCTCTTCTCCCAAAAGATTCACAGCACTATATAAAATACTAATAAATATTGCAGTCATAGCTCCCACAGGCTTCCACGCTGGATAAGCCAGCTGAGCTGAGAGAGGTGCAGAGGAGGCTGGTGCAGGGGCAGAATCCGACCCGGGGCCTCCTGGGAAGCCCCATCCTGTTGTGTCCCTGGGGCTCACAGGAACCCCAGACCATCATGTGCATCCCCGAAGATTTTCCCCCCTCCCATGTCAGTTTTGCTAATTCTAATAAAGAGTGTGGGGGGCAGGCAGCCCAGGGATATCTGTGAGGCGTATCTAGACAGACCTTCCGGGAATGGCAAAGAGCAGCCCCGGACTGGCAGGCGGAGTGTCCATTTCTGCTGCGGAGGCCAAAACCCTTGGAGGGTCTTCTGCTTTAAGCGGGTCCTGGAGAAGGAGCCCTAGCTGGGGTTTCCTCTTCCCCACTTCAGGCTCTCTGGCCAACAGTCTCCCTTGAACCCCAACAAGGACCTGTTGGGAGAGGGGATGAGAGGTGGGAAGGGGTGTCCGGCGCAAAGGAACTCTCTCCTGCCCCAGACCCACAAGCTTTTCTCCCGCCTTCTAACAGACATTCTCAGGGAGAGGGGAAGCCGCCTCTCTCTCTCTCCCTCACCTTCCTCTCCCACCCGCTTCCCCTTGGTTCAGGCCTCCACCTTCTGAACTTCGGGCTGGCACCATCCGTTCAGGTCCTGGCCCCCAGCCTCCTCACCCAGGCACACCCTCAGCCTGGGGCGGGGCTGAGGCGGCAGCCACGGGACGTTCAGCCTGCGCTTTCCCTTTCCCCGCAGAAGGCAGCCTGAGGACCACTCGGTAGACAATTTGATTGTTTTGTTCTATTTGGTTATTTTGTTTTGTTTTGTTTTGTGTTGTTTCTTCATGGCCACAGGGTGGGAGGAAGTATAAAGAAGTGTAAACAGGAAAGCCAGCCGGGCCTGGAGTTCTGAGGGCCCATATTTCATCGGCTTCCTCTCCATAAGTGCAGCAGGGACACTTAACCCTTCCCTGTCTGTGAGAACGGGTTCACTGGAGACTGGCGGGGGCAGGGTGTGTGGACAAGATCCAAGATGGAAGCTCCTTTCTCGGCCTGCTTCCTTTTATCTCCGAGGTCTGGATGCTGGCGTGGAGGCCACGGATTCTGAGCAAGGGAGGAGACGGCCCGCTCCGCACAGTCCCCTGTGCTCAGTCCCTTCAGGGACTGAGAGGGGAAGGCAAAACCCATGTGCTTCCCTGCCTGGGGACCACCCAGGACCAACCCGGGAGGACATGGCTGGAGAGAACCACTCCCTTCTGTTGGGGGAGAGCCCGCTGGCCAATCTCTCCATTTTGGGAGAGTCTAGGAGTAATCAGATTTCAGCCTGGGATCTGCCTACAGCCGGGATTTATCGATTGCTACGGTGCTGTTACACATCCATATTAATTAACCCAGACACCGCCTGGAAACTGAGGAGGGGGAGGGGAGAAATAGGGGCCCCTTAAGGAGTAGGGACAAACCTCTCTAAGCGTCCCTAGGTCCCAGATTGGAGAGTCAGTCCCCGCAGGGGTCATCGGCCTTCCCCAAGCTCAGCCCCTGCCCTTCCCAGCAGGGGTGAGACTGACTCTACTTGGAGAGCCCACACCAACTCTCTTGGGGGAGAGCATGGGATTAAACACCCCCGAGGCCTGACCGACTTTTCCTAGTTAGAGCTAGGATGCCCCCCTTCCTGCAAGGATGGATGTCCTGGGAAATGTTCCCAGCTCAACCTTTTTAGAGTGGTTAACACGCCTTCACCACCTTCCTTTGAACTTCTCCAAGGTAGAAAGAAGCCTTTTCAAGTTTGGGAGATTGTTTTGTTTAGTGTTTGGTGGTGGTAGTGATGGCCTACCCCTTCCCCCTACCCCTCCCTCCAAAAAGTGATTAAAATCTGTTAAAGGATTTAATTAAAAGAGTTAAATGAAAAGGAAGGAGGTACAAATGAGTTGGGGGAAAAAAACCCACACCAAAGCTATTCTCAACGATTAAATCGCCATTTTAACAATATAATGGAGTTTGCATCCTGAAAGGGGAAATCAACGCTCATATCTCATCAATAATTCATAGAGTCCGGGATCACGCAGAGGTCAGCAGACGGGGCCGGAGCGCCGGCCTACTTGGGGCTGCCAGCCGCTGCCGCATACATTACTCGCCACGGGTCGCACCTCCGTCGCCACCTCCGCCGCTCTGCTGGGGCAGCGGCCTGCAGACAGGTTTAAGCGGATTTTGCGTTCTTTCATTTGGGCGAATTTATTGAGGCCCAGACTTCGGGCTTCAAGAGGAAACGGGGGATTCAGGAGA